GGGAGGACATTGTGATAGACCCTAAAACCAGCACGGAGAACTTGTGAGAGCGTAAAACCATCTAAATCCTCATAAACTCCAAACCTTAGATCTTCCATAGTATACTGACCCCGGTAAACCATAGTTAGGAGCTAAGACCCTAGACCCTTAAACTCCTGTCGAGACCTTTGCACTGTACACGCTTCGGCCTCCCGATGTAACCGTCGTGCCAGACCTTGTCGTCGCCGTGTTGAACCCAGTCGTCGTCGTGCTAAACCGAGTCGTCGTCGTCCTTGTCGCCGTGGTGTTGTTGCAGTTTAAATACAAAGCCCAGCAGGATTGCCAAATAGACCCTGAAGGTCCATGCCACATATTCCTAAATCAAGCGGTTTTGGGCTTCTTGTCGGGAGGTTGTATTCAGGTGCTGTCGATGTTCGGGTGTAGACAGTCAGGGTTCAGGGTGTCAGTGTTACTTGGAGGGTCGGGGGACTTAGTAACTGGTTATTTTGGGGACTTATAAGTACCATAACCCCAATTAGGGTCCCTTTTAGGGTACTTATTAGTCTACTTACTACCTACTTACTAAGTCCCCCGACCCTCCAAGTATGCATTCCGGGCATTGAGGAGCTTAGGGATTTGGGGCTTCAATGGTGCCAGCTGGCTAACTATTATAGGGGCTTACATAATTACCAATACCATTGTGGTGGGTTCCCATTATATTCTTATGGTATCATGGGCCCCAACACCCTATTCTAATTATTAAGGCCCCCATAGTAGATAGCAAAAAGGAGAGATATGTAGGTTGAATGGCTACGGGACTGAGAGGATAGATTAGACGAGGTTCGGTTGACTAGGTTCTGTTGGGTCGGCTTGGGGTAGGTTGTGTTGCCAGAAAGTCGTACCACCAAAGCCTTCAAGTTCAGGGCGTTCAGGGTTTACTTGGCCTACGCTTTTGAGGACTTGTACAAGGAAGTCTTTTTTTGGAACCCCAAAAGCAGGGTAGGTTCTTGAGCGTCGAAGTAGGGTTTAGGCTCCAGGGGTTTAGGGGTTTAGGGCTTAAAGTTTAGGGAACGTTGCTCCCAAGCCCGAAACCCTGCAAAGACCCTTTTGCAGCAGGTGCCGCATCTCCTCCGCCAGCAGAGCTCGAGGTCTGATATGGGAGTTTCAGAAAATTAGGGGTAATTACCTTATTTTGGACCCTACTATTTAGGGTACTACATTAGGATCCCCCATTTTCGAAAACTCCCATATTGGACTTCGTTTAGGAGTTTCGTTTTAGGGTTTACTCGAGGCTTTATGGGGTTATGGCTTTAGGGTGTAGGCATCATGGCAAGAACCTGCCTTAAGTCAGAGGGTTTCCTTGATTGAATTCAAGATGCATTCCTACGTCACTTTGTTCGACAAAGATCAGCTGCATAGTTGAGAGCTACGTTTGTCGAAGCTCTCCACAACGGACGCAGGCATTGTAAGTTGAGCAGCACAAAGCTACTCTTCGAGCTGTACATGGTCCGCAGTATTCAATTAGTATATAGAAGCCAAAATCACCAACATTATTCCTTATAGTCTTTCTTATTATACTAATATTCTCTAACGGCGCCCGCAACTCTATGTATTCTTTTTATGATGAAGACCCCTACATCATTGGCTTGAGTTTCGCATGGGAGGTTTTGTGCACAATGACATGTCTGCGTTCTTGCTGAGGAACCTATATTGTTCAAGTTATTGTTTACACCAGGACCAAAACCCTATACTCTAAATCCCTAGAAGAAGGCCCATAGTCGCTACATATCTCTATTCTGGGACTTGAAAGTTAGCTCCTCAGCAAGAACCAGCTTGCCGGGAAAGCTTCCCTACCAAGTAGGAGGCCTTACAGATCAGCTTTGCCGGCAGCACTTTCAGCTGCCGTAGTTTGGGGGCCCCAAAGACCAGCTACAGATGTGGAGTTTGGAACTAAAGGTTTCTGGCATCCCCCTCATTATGTAGGGGCCGCAACAATTAGAATAGGGTTTTGGGGTTTCCCTATTATTTTGGTAAAATCTACCCCAAAACGGCATTCTAATTCTTGGGCCCCTACATTTTGCATCCTCCTGCCCTACACCCCGGGACAAGGATCCCTATCTTTATGTGCTTGTTCGGCTAAGAAGTAGTATACCTCGGCCTACAGTCACATCATAGCACCCCCGTAAAAGGAACCATATTCTAAGTATGAAAGTAGTACCCTTATGGTATCCCTGAAAGCAGCCCTTTAAAGGACCCCTATTCTAAGTATGAAGACCCCATATACTCATCAGAGCCCGGTGCTGAAAATCCTGCCGAGAGCTGTTCGCCTCGAAGCTTCCCGAAGAGACCGCCGCACTCGCACAGGAGCGCATGAAAGAGCCTGGGTTTTGCTGTTAGGGTTAAGGGCTTAGGGCTTAGGGGTATGGGTTTAGGGTTTAGTGCATGAAAGAGCCTGGGTTTTGCTGTGAGGGTTTCGGGTTTAAGGGTCAGGATTCAGTACTCAGGGTTTAAAGCATGAAAAGTCTGGCTTTGGTAATCCTTCCTGGAGGCTAAATACCCTACCCCTTTAAGGACTACAGCAGCAAGTCATAATAAGGAACCCCCAAGGTAGGTTCTTTAGGGTCCAAGTTGGGGCTGAGTGGATACACTTTACACTTTTTGGGATAATATCACCTACTATAGAACGGAAAGTCTACACTTTTTGGGCTTATGAACTCAGCAACTACGGTTGATGATATAAATCCTACGTTACCCTTAATAGGGAATATACCATAATTCCCATAGTTTAGGGTCCTTAAGGTAATGCAGGATTTATATCATCAACAGTAGGGTTAAGGGGGACCTTGGGGCTCCGGGTTTAGTAGTGCCTATAGGGTTTTAGACTTTTATAGACGCGTGCCACAGGGCGCCTAAGCCCTTGAGGGCTGAAGCTTTGGGGTGCAGGAATTACCTTAAGCCCAAGTAACCCGCATCATATTACTTAGAGGATCATGGGACTTAGTAAGTAGGTTATAATTGGGGTTATAAGTCCCCTAAGTGGGGTTATCCTAATTATAACCCACTTATAACCTTACTTACTAAGTCCCATGATCCTCCAAGTAGGGAGCCCTGAAAAGGTAGGTTCCTTAGGGTCCAGGTAGGCGTTAGAAGGTTTTGGGCTGATGGTTTAAAATCTTATGGCTGTAAGGTTTAGGTTTAGGGCTTGGTGCTTGTTAGTTCCTTGGAGGGAAAAGTCCAACACACGCCTGTCTGCTTTCGTAAGGACCAATCTTGTTATTAGACTCCTCACTTAGTCAATGATGGGGTGGTTGCGAAAACAGGCTTCCGCATAGGAGCATCCCTCTACGACGAAATATGAAAAGATTCCCTAAACCCCCAAAAGTAGGTAAAACAATGGCCCAACACCTCTAAAAGGCTAGTATTCTACATACTTTTGGGGGTCCAGGTCCTTGTTAGATTCCTTGTGATGCTTCAGTTTCAGGAAGATGCAGTCAGATAAGGACTTCTCAGTCTGGCCTTTTTGAGATAAACGAATGACCAAAACCGTAACCCTTAAACCCTAGACCCCAAACCCTCCCTAAATCCTAGGTAACCTACGTACTTCTCTGAGGACTCATGACTTGTACTTGTATATATGCATTACAAGCAGGAGCACGAGAACGGGAGGTTTGCGGGCCAGATAGACCTTAAAAGATCCTCTGAGCATCTCGGAGCCCAGTCACCTCTCAGCACGGATGCTGGACTTTCCTATCCCTAAACCCTAAACGTCCTGAACCCTACTCGGAGGTTCATGGGTAGTTATAAGTGGGGTTATAAGTAGGGTAGCTATACTTATAACCCATATTAGGGGACTTATAACCCTACTTATAACTACCCATGACCCTCCAAGTAGGCTCTAAACCCTATAATTACTCTTATAGAATCGCTATAGAGCCCTTTAAAGGGACCCTTAAAGGAACCCTTATAACTACCCATGAACCTCCAAGTAAACCCTTCCCTGGGCGATTAGACGTCTTGCAGGGAGTCGGCATCGTCGCGCTTACAGAGTTGTTTTTGCATTGTTTCAGAGCTCTGAGTTACACGGAAATTTGGGGGTACCATATTTTGGGGGTCCCTATAACAAGAATCCTACTAAGGGTCCCCTATTTTCGGAAACTCCCAGTTCTGAGTTACGGAAGTTCCGCATAGGGGTTTCAGGGTTTAGGGCTAAAGCCTTGTAGCATGTCCATGAAGTACCTATAGTCTCCATTGTAGTTTCTTTTTTGAGGTAACCTTATAGGATCCGAAATATGTATTTGGATAAGCCAAAAAAAGGAACTACCATGGAGACTATAGGTATACCAGAATCAGAAATAGACCGAAACCCCGGCACTCAAACTCCACCACCCGAAACGCAAAACGCCCTGAGCGGTAAAATTCCTATAGCCAGATCGTCGCAGCACCCTGGACACCAAGGCATTCGCTCTCGAAACAACCATAAACCTTTGACCAAGCCGCAATATGGGAGTTTCCGAAAACTAGGAGTACCTTATTTTGGGGTCCTTTTTGTAAGGATCCTACTATTTGGGGTACTATATTAGGGTCCCCTATTTCCGGAAACTCCCATATGGGTTTGGGGCTTAGAGTTTAGGTTTGAAGGTTTTGACACGACAGGCTGTAGATAGTCATTCCCGATATCAAGCCTTGTCCCTTTGCATCGTCGGCTGGCCTATATAGGCTCAGAGCAAGTCGTGGCATTAAAGACATCCATGCCGTGTCAGCAGCCCTCCCGTGAACCCGTAGCGTTTAGGGGCAGGACAACTTTTCAGGATTCGCGGTCTAGGAGCCTGGGCATACGTCCTCTAGATGTTCCGCCTTTACAGCCCCTTTGGGCAGCAGCTTCCAGCACATGCTGCAGCCACTGAAACCATTTATGAGTCTCATAGGGGGCCAAATAGGACATCCGGCCCTCCTTCACATAGCTCAGAACTCCACGGCGAGAAGTAACACAATCTAACCGGGTGACAGCTTCAGTCCGAGTCATGGCTGCGTGGGGGATGCGACAACCTCAGCATGTAGCTACCGGTGTCTTAACTAAGGGATCTTTCCCAACCCTGAACCCTAAAACCCATTACACCCTAAACCCTGTAAACCCTACCCTATAAACCCTAAACCCTATTAACCCAAGCCCTATTAACCCAAGCCCTACGACTCGAAGGTTTGGGAGTCTCTAGGCAGGGATCAGGGATCCTTCCCTTGCTTTTCCCAATGGCTCCATGTACCTTTATAGTAGATGCGGTTGATAATATAAATCCTGCATTAACGTAAGGACCCTAAACTATGGGAATTATGGTATATTCCTGATTATGGGTAATGCAGGGTTTATATCATCAGCCGTACTTAAGCCTTAAAGGGGTCCCTATGTAGGTACTTTGAGGTCTAAGTATGTACTATATGGGCACATGGAGCCTGAGGGGTTTGTGCAAAAACCAGAACTCGAGTTGCTGCTTAGGCCTCGATTCTTCAAGGGTCCCATCAGGGTTTAGGGTCTAGGGGTTTAGGGTTTAAGGTTTTAGGGTTCAGGGCTTTGGGGTTTAGGATTAGGGTTTAGGGTTTTAGGGCTTAAAATGTAGAGTTTAGGGTTTTAGGGTTTAGGGTTTAGGGCTTTAGGGTTTTAGGGTTTAGGGATTTAAAGTTTTAGGGTTCAGGGTTTTCGGTTTCAGGGTTGAGGGTTTAGGGTTTAGTTTGGGTTTTGAGATTGGGGCTGGTATGAAGTCTTTTTTTTCATAGCGTCCCGGAAGCATTCGTTTCGTAGTCTGCCTGAGGAGGATTTATTGAAACGCGAGTATGGATTTAGCAGGGAAGAACACATCCAGTTGTCCAGGCTCAGATGTTCTTATTCGTGGTCTGGATTTGCGCTATATATGACAAGAGGCACAAAAGTGCATGATAACGGCCCCAGGACGACGGCCACGTGATGATTCGGCAATTGTGGGGTATCCAAAATCGGCCGGGCTCAGTCGTGTGGCACGGAGGATGTCATGTGATTACTGCGTTTAGCGGGGGGGAGGGCGGGCGATTGCAAGCGGTACTTGCTCACATGAGACTTGCTTGTTGGCGCTTGCTGAACCCCTTGCCGTCAAGGCTGGCACTCGACCCCAAGGTTAGGGTTTACCTTAACCCTGAATAACCTACCTTTTAAGGGTTCCTTATTATGATTTCTTTAGATTACAAGTCCTTAAAAATGTAGGTTCTTCGGGGAGGTAGGGTTTAGGCACTGACATGTGGAACCCTATGCCAGAAGCCGAAGAAATCGAAAACCCAAACCCCGAAATCCTCAGCATCCGAAGGTCACCGGTAGAAAGCCTTACCTAATGGAATTTTACAGAAACGCTACCCCAAACTCTACAAGCCCTATACCCTAGAAACCCTCAACCCTACACACCCAGAGGCCCTAAAACCTAAATCCTATCAATCCCAAACCCTCGAGACCGTCGGTGCTGGTGCCGCCTGCTGCACCGGCCTTCCCATTGCAGACTCCACCATACAGGCACGGTTTAAGGTTTAGGGTTTAGGGCACCGGCCTTCCCGTTGCAGACTCCACCATACAGGCTCTTGAGTTTTCTAGGGCTGGGGCACAGGGTTTACGGCCTGTTCCCAAGATTTTCGCGAGGATCCTAAAAGTAGATCTCTTAATGGGGGTTCCTATAAAGTACCCTTAGTAGTATAAGGCCCCAAATTAGTGGATCTACTTTCTAGATCCTCCCGGGGGTCTGGGTTAGGAGTTCGGGACAGAGCTGGAAGACGAGAATTGCGATGTGCCAAGGGTCGCAGGCGAAGCGGTGGCGTTGGGTGGTGTTGAGAATGACAGGTGGGGTTCCTTAAGTCAGCGGAACTATTCTCTTCAGCAGATACTAGTATAGGGGCCTAAATAATGACCTGTACTATTTTAGGGGGTTCCTTATTATACTTATAGTATAATGGGCCCCAAAATCCTGTTCTAATTATTGAGGCCTCTTTCTTACATCCCTAAGTCCTGCATGTGCAAGCCGTTCTCGTCACAAGAAGCCTCAACACCCCGCACCACGACATTCTTCAAGGTCGTTGTATGCTAGGATGCCCAGTAGTACCCTTATTCCCTTTTTGTAGTCCTAGCTTCCCTATAAAGTTACCCAATACCAAAAAGGGAGCCCTTTTTATTCCTACGTCACTGGGCATCCTAGTATGTGTGGGGCCATTTCTAGGGTAGTATCCTTTTAAAGCAGGGTCTCAACACCTTTGCTCAACAGGTAAGGCATTTCAACCAGGACATGCCTTCGGCCAGGTAAGTCAGATCACCAAAACATGCTAGACACACAATCTGCAAACCACGCTGCCATGTAGATACCCCGAGCCCAAAACCGTAAACTAAACTCTTACGTAGAGCCATCCTGAACCCTAAACCCTATAAAACCCTAAACCCTTTAACCCTAAACCCTTTAAGCCTAAACCCTAAAGCCCTGAACCCTAAACCCTAAAACCCTATAAAACCCTAAGCCGCAAGGCCTAGTCCACCCGGCGTGGTGACGATGCCCCCCGTGCCAGCGGCAGCGGTGCCTAAGCCGGTCGCAAGTGCAGCCATCGCAGCATCCACGTCGAAGGCACCGGGCACCGTCCCGGGCCCAGTGAAGGTGTGGGTTTTTGTTGTTGGTTTTCTGTGGTTTCGGGCTTTAGGGTTTGGGGTTTTAGGTGTTGGGGTATCGGGGTTTAGGGCCTTAGTTACCTTTCGTAGGCCTCAGGGTTTATCTTCGATCTGGAAGCTTGAAGCAGCACCGTCTTGAGACCCTGCCGCTCCCCAAACCCTTATACCGACATCCTACACCCGAAATCCGAGGTGGAATTTGAAGTACAGTCTTGTTGATTCTACTGTGAGACGTATCTCAGATCTTTTGACAGAGTAATAGAGAAAGGCCGTTCGAACCCCTGGCATAAACCCAGACCTTCCAAAATCCCTTAATTAAGGAATATACCTTAAATTATAGTAGGATCCCTAATATGATGCAAGGTATATTCCTTAATTAAGGGATTTTGGAAGGTCTGGGAACCCTACCCTCCCCGGACGGCACAAAGCAAGTTTTCGGACTCCGCTTGAATAGGGGCCTCGTCGTCTCGCTGCCACTCTATCGCCTTGAATTGAATCGAGGGCAAACCCTAAGCCCCTAAACCCTTTAACCGTAAACCCTTTAACCCTAAACCCTTTAACCGTAAACCCTTTAACTCTAAACCCCAAAACCCTAAACTCAGAAAGATGCACCCGAAGGCAGTTTCTGGTAGGATTCGAAAGGGTCGGAAAGCGGAATTAAACCCTGCCCCCCTCCCGCGAACCAATACCCGTTAAATAAGGAATGTACCTTAAGACCATATGTCATTGCAAGGCCCTTATAATTTCAGGTATACTTTTTACCTAAAGGCCCAGAGAGCCACCCTTAAACCCAGAACCCTACCTCAACCCTTGCCCCTCAAATCAGAACAGAGCCTAACCCCCAAACCTATGAAAGACCGACTGAGGTGCCCGCCAAGGCGGGTCAGCCAGCGCTGCCTCATGCGGTGATCCCAGGGGCCTCGGGTGTGCAACCGTGCACCGTCTACGTTGGCCGAATTTCCACGGAGGCGCTGATTCAGGAGTTTAGGGGTTTAATAAGCCCTATTTCGGAATTAGGGCTTAGGAGGTCAGGGATTATGGTTCGGGGTTTAATAGGGTTCAGAGTCTAGGGTTCAGGTTTCGGGGTTGGGGGCTTTAGAGTCTAGACGTTGTTCGTCTTTTCGGTCAGGATTTGGAGTTGCGTCTCGTCTTCCCCGAATTCTTCAGAATTTTGGGTTTGCAGGGTTTCTACACGAAAGTTTACCCAGAGCCTCCAAAACCCCTTAATTCAGGAATATACCTTAAATCATATTAGGGCTCCTATTGTAATTTAAGGTATATTCCTTAACTAAGGGGATTTGGAGTCTCTGGGTACACGCAGGCATCTTCGGGTTTTCCGTGTTTAGGCGCAGTCGCAACATACGTTGCTGGAAGTGAACTGAGCAGTGCATACATTCTTTTGTTCTTTCGGATTCTGTGTACGCCTTTGTATGCACATCCACACACAGAGCGTTTGTACAAGCGATAGAAGGGTTCATACAACATGCGCTCATACACATACAAACGCAAACCCACACACACACAGCTTCCTTCACGCATTTACTTCATGCTACACTGAGGCTTTCGACTGCAGTCGTACGGGAGGTCTTGAATGGTGTGGTGCAGAGTTTTGGGGCTGTAGGTTTTAAACCCTAAGCCCTAAACCCTGGCCCCCTAATCCGATATCGTCCCTACCCTACACACCGAATCCCGACATTGCAGGTGTCAGATGAGTTTGTTCGACAGCTTCTAGACAAGTGTGGCAAGGCCATCCGTTTCTGTCACGGAAGGAGGTTACGGTTGGGTTCGGGCGATTTCTCGGCGAAGGCATAGTTGAAAGTGTCAAGTTTAGTCTTTTCTTGGTCGGTTGCTTGTTTGTGCTCATCAGTTTTTTCGGGTGTGATTGAGAGAAGCACAGTCTTTGGTTCCGAAGGATTCTTAGACTTCTAATGTTCAGCCTCGTACCCTGGCTCTAAGCATGACACTCCACTTGAGTATCGTCTGCCACGTTAATGAGAAACCCTAGACCCTAATATAGGGCCTTAATGACTACCTACACTATTTTGGAGCTTCCTCATGATGCTTGTAGCATCATGGGCCCCAAAACCAGAACCTCAAACTATGAAGCCCGAACCAGAAACCCTACCTGAACCCCAAACAACCGGCTTTGATAATCATATACTCTCCCAGATATTGACTGAAAGCGACTATCGCAAACCCAAGTACCGTTTTGTCGTTCTTTTGGACCCTGAAAGCCCCGTAAACCTCTCCAAACCCCATAGAACCTCTTTTGATCCCCGTATGAAACCACCGATGGGTCCTTTGCACCCTTGTCGAACCTTCTTGAGAACCCCTAGAATACCCGTAATTCTTCGGCCCCTTGACTTGCAGGACGGGACAAAAGTAAGTATGGCTACAAGGTTTCACTCCGTTTCTAGATCGAAATCATTCTCCTTGGATCCTATGGCAGTTGCATAAACACTCTACTAAAACATTTCCCCTCAAACTCCTATTCGGTTTATCTGGCCCCTAAACCTCAACCTCTACAGAACCCGGCACGTTTAAGGAGACCCGCCGTAAACCCTGTACCCCAGACCGTACAGGAGCCCTGGTCTAGTCAGTAGGCCCATTGTAGTTCCTTTATCTTCCCCGTCGGTGCCCTTAAGAGATCTTTTAAACGAAGCCGAAGGGATCCTTTAAGGGATCCTCTAAGGGACCCCTTAGAGGTCAGCAAGTGGAACCGGGCTGCTGACCCAAACACTTCAAAGCCCGGGCGCTTACAGTCTTTAGAGTTTCGTTATGGTTTAGAGTCGTGTCTGTTCTCAGCTCTTTAGGGTTTAGGGCTTCGTTGTTTACGGTTTTTTTGGGTTGGAGGCGGTATAAACCCTAAACCCTAAACATATGCTTGGGTTCAGCGCCCAGGATGCCTTTACAGGTTACAGTGAGTTGAGGGTTTTGTGGCTGTCGAGTCTGAGAGTTTAGGCTTCAGAGTTCCAGCGTTTAGGGGTTTCAGGAATGGGGTTTAGGTTTTTTTAGGGGGTTTGGGGTTTAGGGTTTTAGGCTTTAGGGTTTAGGGCTTTAAATTAGGCTTATAGACCCTAAACCCTAAACCGGGCTGTACAGTCGGGACTTCAGGTTTTGGCCGGGGGTTGATTCGTAGCATGGGCTGTGTGCTTGGAGGACCTTCGTTTCTGTAATCCAGAGGCTCCTTACAGTCCTTTAGGGGATTGAGGTTTAGGGTTTGAGGTTTATGTTTTCTTGGCGTTCTTCTGGTTGGCTCTTAGGACTTCAATTTTTTGGGTGTCTATATGAACGATAATAAGGAGGCTAAAAGTTTAACTTTCAGGAGGGGTTCAGAAGTCAGCCAAGTATTTTAGGGTTTAGGGTAAACCCTTCAGGGTTCAAAGTTTGGGGTTTTGGTCCCCAAAGGTAAGTAACTGAGTGGGGGATACTTACCCGAACAGGAGTGGTTCCTACTACGCAAACCCTCCCTTTACAGAGTAGTTTCTTAGTAAGGACCCTCTGGGTATAGAAGTTCTCCGCAACCTTGCAACCAAGACCGCCCCAAGTACATACATACAAGGCTTCGGGAAAGGACAGTACATCTACTGGGTTTTGGTATTAGCCCCAAGGGCCCAAGTACCTAGTAATCATATACTCTCCAAAATCCTAACCTACACAACTACTATCCTAATACCGAAGACCTAATTATTGGGTCCTTTGGACCCTTGGGGTGGTATGTATTAGTGCTTGCATTTTCCGCACAAACCCCAAACCCTAAACCCTAAACCTTGTGGCCAAGGCTCACATCCTTCGGCTTCTGCGACTTTGAGGCGGGCTTGGGGATCCGCCCGAACCTCTAAGGTTTAGGGCTTCCCTTAGCCCCGGATAACCTACCTTTTTAAGGACTTGTATAAGGAAATTATATTAAGGAACCCTAAAAACATAGGCTCCTTAGGGTCCGGGTAGAGGTTCAGCGGTTTAGGGTTTACTAGGGTCTACTAGGCTTTGGGCTTTGGGGCATAGTGTCTAACTTATTGTGATTACTGAACTGACTGTTCTTCTGCCTATAGCTAGTTTGTGCCCTGTTGTTGTCGGCGCTGCTACTACTGTTGACACGGCTACTACTACTACTACTACGACGACGACTACTACTACCACCACAACGACGACGATGACTACTACAACCACAACGACGACGACTACTACCACCACAACGACGACGACTACTACCACCACAACGACGACGAAGAGGACGACGACGACTAGTACTACAACTACTACGGCTACTTCTACCACTTCGACGACGACGACGGCTGCGGCGACTGCTGTCACCACTACTAGTTTCCGCCACAGCCGTTACCTATAGTCTCCAGTGTCATTCCTTTTTTTGGTTTAACCAATTATGTGTATATATATATATATATATATATATGAAGGATCCTATAAGGTAACCCGAACTACAATGGAGACTATAGGTGCTAACAATAATCACTCACCAGGGTCGCCGTCATCAGCAAGCAGCATTAATGAACCACTCTCTTAGCCACCCTCATTTAATACGAAACTCCGTCGCCATTATCGTCATGCTGTTGCTTTCAGGTATGCCTCCCGAAAGCCTAAGCCTTCCTAGACCCTACCTTAACCCCAAGTAACTCACGTTTTTAAGGACTTGTATCAAGAAATCATAGTAGGGAACCCTAAACCTTAGACCTGAAAGCCTAAACCCTGATGGTTCGATGTTGGGTGGTTTCCGGACCCTCGGCGTCGAGCCATGTTATGACCTCTCAGGCACCATGCCAGGAGCAATTCTCGTGATTTTGGCTGTCTGCTTTCTGCAGATCATGTAAACCCTAAACCCATCCAAGACCCTAATCCCTACAACACCCGAAGGGTTTAGGGTTTGCCTCTTGCGGGTATTTATTTTCTCCAGGTTATGCTGTTGTTGGCTCATGTGGGGCTTTGCAGCATTGTTCAACTCAGCATGACATGTGTTGGCTCTACCATCCTCCTTATACTAGAGCCTACACCAAATTGACAAGTTGCACAGCAGACGGCATCAAGAAATTGTGGCCCACACCGCCCACAATCGGCTGCGGCACCGACAGTGGCTGCACATACATCAAGATCTTGATGACCAAGCTGGTCTTGGCCACGTCAAAGTGGATGTAACTGGCGCCGCAGAGGCCCAGCGAGGCACGGGCAATGTCGCGCATCAACGCTCCATCATTCGCGTCAGCGTACCTCGAGGTACATGTATCGTCCTCTGGCATATTCATATGCTCAGGAGTGTCTAGACCGAATGCATCCGAATGCCTTCGCAGCATTCGCAGTCATCCAGCGCACGCCACAGAGCAGGAGGACCCACCATGAGCCCGAACACCAAAAAAACACATCCAGACACCATGAACCCCCAAATCCCCAAGCGTTCCATTTTAAACTGCAGATCCACCTATAGTCTCCATTGTAGTTCCTTTTTGGGGTTACCTTATAGGATCCTTCATATATACTTGGTTAAACCAGAAAAAGGAACTACAATGGAGACTATAGGCAGATTCGAGTCCAATGCCAGCCCTGAGCCCTAAACTGACTCAAAGCCTCCAAAACCCTGTCCCGGACTCCGAAACCCCTAAACCTCTTAGAGCCCTATACAACCACACCACCTACTCCCCCTAAAAAACACTACGCAGGGAACACAAAACAAATCTACACCAGGAGAAGCGTCACACTAATAATCATAATCGTTATAGTTATAATTACGAGCAACGACTGTATCTTAGCATGTTGAAAAGAATGTTAGCCTTAAGCCCTGAACCCTAGAATGTTAGAGCCCTACACCCTAAGCTTTAAAACCCAAACCTGAATAAACCCTAAATCCTAAAACCCAACGCCCTATACCTTAACCCCTAAGCCGTAAACCCTTGCAAATTCTTGCAGAGCCCTTCAAAGCGACCCTTTACATCCCTAAACCTTACACCCTAGAGCCCTAAGCCTTAAACCCTAGATCCCTAAGCCTCAAACCAGGAGCCACAGGGTGTCTGGCGTGCTCTGGAGTTCCTCCATGAGAAGCAGCTCTGCGATAAGAAGCTCCTTGTGAAATGCGAGGAGACTCCCGGGGATGAGGGTTTATAGGGTTTAGGGGTTGGAGGGTTTAGGGTTTTAGGGGTTTAGGCTTAGGGAGGAGGGGTTAGTGTTTACGGGGTTTAGGGATTAGTGTTTAGCGGTTTAGGGATTAGGGTTTAGGTGTTTTGGGATCTTTGCGTTGGTGCGCTAGGATTTTGTCCCTTTTGGGTGGTTGTTTTGGCTTCGGGCGTGTTGTTCGCGCTGATTCTCTGTTCGATATACAACTGTATTACAGGGTGCACGTGAGAGGATTTCGGGATGAGGGCTCCGGGGCCTTGGGGTTTACGGCTCAGGGCTTCTGGGTTAGGGGTCTATGGATTCAGCGTTTAGAGGTTTAGGGTTTCAGGGTTTAGGGCTCATACCGAGGCTGTGGGCAGCGAGGAACATAATCTGTTTGTATTGTGTCGTTGCAGTTGCAGTTGCTTGTCTTTGTCGTTGTCCTTGTCCTGGGCGATCTAGCTGTGGTTGTGGTTGTCGTTGTTGCTGGGCGGTGGCGTTGCCCTTAGTCTTGGTCTCGGTTTTGTTCGGTATTTTTGGAGGTCATGTTAGTGTTGAGTCACACTCCGCTCCGAACCCTCTGAACCCAATCTTGGGCTGCCACTTCCACATCATGAACACACTAAACCACTAAACCCAATACCGAGAAGTCGAAGCCCTAAGCCTCAAAGCCACAAACTTCCCGGAACCAACCACTGAAGTGTATGGCTAGTTCTCTAGATTGAAGTCACTCTTGGGGTCGTTGTTATACATTTATAAAGAGTATAAGGGTGCCGTACCATATTGGGGACCTGCAAAGGGAGCCTAATTTAGAGAACTTCCCATGTTGCAGGAGAAGGCCAAGCAGACGATCGATTCCTGGAAAGTAGCCTCGGCTGCATGCGATGCATTTTTCGGGGTAGCGGTTAGGGCGTTTAGGGTTTTAGGTGCAAAACCACATCATACTCTGACCCTGCACCTGAATGCCTCAACAAGGCCCGTCCGCTCCGTAGCCACAGGCAAGCCGAAAAGATGAACTCCTCAAGAAGCTCAAGGAGGAGGCTCGGGATGTGTCCTAGGGCCTTACGACTTGTTCCAGACATTCAGCCCACGCTTAACCTGAGCCCATGATCCGAGCCCTAAGGGTCCATGTACCCAAATAGTAGACACTTTGGTCCCAATGTACCTTTTGTAAAAGATAGGATGGGTGAATAACCGAATGATAAGTAGCACCAAAAGTTCTTAACCCATGCATGTGGTTATAACATGTTACCACGACATGTAATGGTTTACAGTCACATAGAACGACTTGCTACACAACTTGCAATGATTTGCTAGAACTTTGCAAGTGCTTATCATATGGATATAGTCGCCCAAAACAAGGTACCACTAATTTTCGGAAACTCTGAACCCTAAACCCTTTATTATAGAACCCTTATAGTACCCTTATAGTACCCCTTTAAAGGAATCCTAAGGTACCCCTAGTTTTCGGAAACTCCTAAATCCTGTGAAGTAGCGAAGAAGTCGGCTCTGCGCCTTCTCCTGCGCAGGACAAAGACAAGAAGGACCAGGCCGCGGGGATGCAGTATAAAGGGATCCTTGAAGGGGTCTATAAGGGATCTTTAATACTTGGAGGGGCAGGGGACTTAGTAAGTAGGTTATAAGTAGAGTTATAAGTACCCTAAATGGAGTTACCCCAATTATAACCCTACTTATAACCTACTTACTAAGTCCCCTGCCCCTCCAAGTAGGGTTCCATTTAAAGGCGTCTGATAAACGGCTATCAGAAGGATTTAGTATGGGGGCCTTAATAGTTAATTACCTGGGGTTTCTTACTATAATTATGGTATAGTGGGCCCCAAAACCTATTCAAACCATTAAGGCCCCTATATTAGGTCGCAATGTGGTCTTAATCGTTGTAAGAAGGGCTCTATGAATTCCCTAAGCTCTAAACCCTACACCGAAACCGTCAAGCCCCTAAACCCCTCAATAATGTAATTGAAACAGGGGCCGACCCAATGTAAACACAATCAGCCCGCAGGCAAGAAATCTGGAGCCCGTTGAATACCTACAGCTTTCATGATCCTAACACACCACAAATGGTAGAATCTTGCTTTTTGCGTTGGCATGTTACAGCATTACATGGTTGATAGGGCTTGATTTATTAGGGTTCAAGGTTTGGGGCCTGGGCTATGATGTAAGGTTTGGTGTTGTGGGGTTGGGTCACCTCAGCGAGTACCTTCAGGCCAAAGTATGTACAACCTAGGTACATTGGCGAATGGGTACTAGAACCAAGGTGGGAAGATGGTTCAGTCTGAATTATTGCCCTACACCTAAGCCCTCAGCCCAAAACCTTACAGTAAATCTATAAATCCAAAGCTTCAGCCCCTAAGCCCTAAACGCTGCAGCGGGTTTCGAACTCCCTTCGCCGTATTCCCGAGTCCTTCCGAGAGCCCATCAGACTCGAAACTTAAGTGGCCTGGAACCATGGGGAAGTCGAGGAGTCGGCAGGAGTCGCAGAAGAAGAAGAAGTCTTCCAATAAATCAATCAAGGCCCTAAGGGTCCATGTACCCAAGTAATATATACTCTGGGCCCACTTAGTAACTGGTAATTTTAGGGACTTATAAGTACCATAACCCCAATTAGGGTCCCTTTTAAGGTACTTATAAGTCTACTTACTACCTACTTACTAAGTCCCCCGACCCTCCAAGTATAGGGAGTACTTTAAGGTCAAAGTATATGCTATTTGGGTACATGGACCCGAAGGGAGTAGGGTGATAAATGCTTGCGAACCTGTGGATATCGACTGCAAGCTGCCATTTTACTGCGGCGTGGGGCGTGCAGCGGCGGTGTGCCTGTTCTTGGCTTCCGACTGCAAGACCAGCAAGCTCTTATAACTCTACTTGCCCTAAGCCCTCAACTGTAAATCCTAAACCCTAAGCCTACTTACGAAACCCGCTGGGCCTCTGAGTAGGCATCCTTTTTGAGGAACCTGTGCAGAACCCTGAGCTTCCGGGGTCTGGGGCTTTGGGGTTTAGGGTTTACGGCTTTGGGCTTAGGGTTTTGGGCTTTGGGTTTAGACTTTAGGCTTTAGGGCTTACGGTTTTGGGCTTAGGGTTTAGGGTTCAGGGCTTTGGGTTTACGGATTTGGGCAGAGGGTTGAGGGGTTTAGGCTTTAGGGCTTACGGTTTGGGGTTTAGGGTTCAGTTTCGGTTTGGGGTTTAGGGTTCAGTTTCAGTGGCCCAATGATGGCCTCATGAGGAGCTGTCAGAGGAGCAGCTCACGGCGGAGTTGCGCAAGGACAGTGAGGCACTGGGAACTCTTACGGGTCATAGTTTTAGGCGTTAGGTGTTTTACGTTCAGTGAAGGGGTGTGTTAGTAGCAGTGTTTCTTTTAGGGAGTTTATTAGAGTTAAGATATGTTATAGTGTAGCTTTTGCTGGGTTTCAGGGATCCCGGATTGTAGGGCTGCTGAGAGCTTTTGAGTGTGGTTCTGATGCAGACTCTGCAGAATAGGTTGTCGTGTAGTTGCGAGGTTTGGCCGCTGCAGTATGTTCTCTTCGAGATGCGGTATATGGATAATTCTCCAAATGAGGGTCGGTATCATTTTGGGTCCTCTAAATAATGCGGCACTCTTATAACGACCCCAAAAAGGACCCTGATTTACAGAACTATTATTCAAATAGTGTAGAGGGTGAAGGCACCATCCCCGCTAGATTCTTCCTGTGTAGTTTCGGTGCCTTCAGGTTAACGGCTTTAGTTTTTTTGTTTTTGTTGGGGGAGGGTCTGGGGTTCAAAGGGCTTCGCTATCTCGCAGTGAAGAATTAAACATGTCAATACCATGAGTACAGATGGCGGAGGTAACCCCTTTTTAACCTACAGCAGACGAGACTTCTTTGCGGCGGTGCTGGCGAAGGTCCCATTGGCGGACGGATTTTTTCCCGGGGGCCCGAGGACAGCTGCATCTCCAGCATGACCACACTAACTTTGAACAGACGGGAGTTGCATGTTTCATGACCTTTTTTTGTGTTATGTTGCAGTGATTTACGGTTGCTGATATAAATCCTGCATTACCTTAAGGACCCTAAACTATGGTAATTATGGTATATTCCTTATTATGGGTAATGCAGGATTTATATCACCAACCGTAGCACTGAGCCACTGCCGGACGGCAAGCCGCCGAAGCGGTTGAGCACGAAGTTTGTCCTAGACTGGCGAGGCCGAGAGCTTCCCAGAGCCTCCAAAACCCCGTAATTAAGCAATATACCTTAAATCTTATTAGGGCTCCTAATATGATTTAAGGTATATTCCTTAATTAAGGGGTTTTGGAGTCCCTGGGTTCAGTGGAACAGACGTGCGAGATTGCTTGCAAGAGAGTACCGGTGGGCTCTGTATTCGCCAACGAGAATGCGATCGAGTAGTATGGGGCCTTAATCATTAGAATAGGGTTTGGGGGCCCATTATACTATACTTATACTAAGCAACCCCCAAAATAGTGTAGGTAATCACTTAGGCCCATACGGTATCAAGCTGTTGTCGGCTTGGTGAGCTAGCTGGCCAGCGCACGAGATGCCATCGATTGATATTCTTGATGCCTACCTCTGGAGGTACCCCAAAAGTTAAAAGAGTACACGGTAGATGGTACAGGTTGGAATACACATCGTCGGGGCAGCGTAAGCAGTGATTGGTGTGAGCACCTGCGCCTGAACCTTAAGCCCCTGAACGTGTAAACCCTAAGCTTCCAAACTATCCTTGAGAACGCCGGCTCTCAAGCAGGCGATGTTCCTTTTGAATTCTATGGTGTGTGCTATACGGGTTCCTTATAAATGTCTACAAGGGTTCCACAATGAGAGCTTTAAGGTTGTATGTAGTGGCCTTAGTACCTTGCTTCCATTGACCATCGCCTACTTCTTTGTAGGCTCTCCGCTTCGACCCATACATGAATGTCCTATACCCGAAGACTCCAAGTAGCCCAGAGTAGGTACTACTTGTAGACTGGCACCCCGAAGTAGGAATTGCTGCCTTACTTGGAATCTTACCTATAGTCTCCATTGTAGGTTCAACCAAGAAAAGGAACTACAATGGAGACTATAGGTAGGGCTTACCCCAAGGGTCCTAAGGACCCCACAATTAGGTACTCGGTTTTAGGATAGTAGTTATGTAGGTTACTATTCTTGAGAATATATGATAATTAGGTACTTGGACCCTGAGGGTTAGGGATAGGGACCCGATGAATGTTCCTTCATCCCAAAACGCCAGGCCGTTGAAAAAGAGATCGAAAAGCTGCTGGCCGTGAAGAACAAAGACTTTCCCGAGGCCCTCTCGTTTCTCTAACGGGCTCTATAATTAGGGACCCAAATGCCTTATTGGGCTTCATTATAAGGGGGTTTATATGAGATATCCCTATCCTATCTCTTGCTTATGTGCTTTTTAAGGGGCCCTATATAAGCGTACTATAAGGGTTCAGGGTTTGGGGTGCGGTTTAGGGCGTAGGGTTGAGGATTTAGGATTACATAAGGGCACTTGTGTTTGCTATAAGGGGTTCTACAAGGGTTCTATACAGCTCGGAATAATTACCAATGGCAGTCCTTTGGATTATTTCAGATTTAATGTTACCAGTTTACCTGTTCTAACATAAGGCCCCTTTTTGTTGCGTATCAGTGAATCAGGGGCACACATCTGCGGTTGTGGCTTTGGGGGTCAAGTCCGAGGGTTCAGGGATCTGGGCGTTAGAGTTCAGGGTTGTTTCATTTGTTTTTACCTCTAGTCTCCCTTGTAGTTCCTTTTTTGGTTTGGTCGGCGCATGGAGATCCAAGTAGCCCAATCGTCGGTTGATTTTCGCAGACTGTAGACCCATACCTGGACCCCAAAAGTATGTAGAATAGTAGCCTTTGATGGGTATTGGGCCAGTACTGTACCTACCTTGCGGGGGTTTAGGTAGGGAGGTTCCGGTTGTACCTTTGAAGTCAGATGACAGCTGCAAGCTTTCCGCAAGGTTTTATGGCTGTGTATGGATGGTTTTGTAGTGGTTTTGGCATGGGGTTGGCCGCAGCTAGGGCTAGTAGTGACCCCAGAGACTCCAATACCCCTTAATTAAGGAGTATACCTTAAATCGTATAAGGGATCCTATCATAATTTAAGCTATATTCCTTAATTAAGGGATATTGGAGTCTCTGGGACCTTCGGTACTTTGGTAAGGTTCCGATATGCAGCATAGTGGCCTCAATAATTAGCTATACTACTTTGGGGTTTTCGTATTATAACTATGGTACAATATACCCCACAACCTTATTCTAATTGATAGTACCCTTATAGTACCCCCCATAGTAACTCATATAATATAGGACCCTTATAGAGGAACCCCATATTAGAGGCTGAAGGGATCGTGGTTGCACGTTTGGGGCTTGGTGTTGGAGGTGCAGGGGTCGAAACCCAAGCAACATTGTACGTAGAGTGATAGCCTTTTATAGGGTATAGGGCTTAGGGCCTTAGGGCTTAGGGTTTAGGGCTTGGGGTTTAGGGTTTAGGGCTTAGGGTTGGGCCATTATCGTACTAACTTTTGGGGGGGTTTAAGTAAACCTTCTAAAGCTAGAGCCCCCAACACTGCTGGAGTAGCTGCCATGTGTGGCTTGGAGCGGTTTGGGCTTTCCGGTTCAGCGGTTTCGGGGGGGGGGGGGGGGGGGTTAGAGCTTTAGGGCTTATAGCAAACCCCATAAAGTTGGAAACCGGATTAAGGCCAAATAGTGCTGGGATTCCCTATACATGACTCTTAAGGATTGAGGCTATTGGGTTTCCAACTTTTGGGCTTCTACTATACAGTGTGGGGGGCCTTAATAACTAGAATAGAGGTCCCATGAAAGGGATCCTTTATAATGGGCCCCAAAACCCTTTTCGAATTATTAAGGCCCCTATAGTAGGGCTTAGGGGTTTGGGGTTTAGGGTTTGAGGGTTTCCGATCGAAGAGTTCTGTGAAACCTTATGCCATACGGCACATTTCAAAGGGTCCTAGGTACCGATATAGCAAAAAGGTAGGGTTTCCATATTAGGAATTAAAATTATGATAATTATGACTTAACTTAGGGAAGTATCCCCCCATATCAGTACATAGGACCCTTTGAGTCTTTCAGGGTTTGAGAATCGAAGTCACGGGCAGCTCGCGTGCTCGGCAAACGCTGAATCTTTATCTGCACCCCAGAGCCTGAAACCTTGAACTCCCCAATCCCGAAATCCTAGACCCTAGACCTTAAAACCCTAATAGTACCCTCATACATAGATGGATGGAAAGAACACATTACCCAGAGGCCCCATAGTAGTTCCTTTTTGGGGATTACCTTATAGGATTCGATATACGAACTCCCAAAAGGAACTACTTTGGGGCCTTTGGGTAGAGGACCCTAGACTCCAGATCCGCACATCGCTCAGGTCAAGGATGGGGAAGACCAGAAAACCAAGGAGGTTCATCTTGAGTGCTCCCTAAACCCCAAGGCTTAAACTCTAAGGGTTCAGGGTTCTCTAAACCCCAAACCTTAAACTCCAAGAGGGCTTCATCTGGAAGCTGATTTCCGAGTTGATGCTTTTCTTGCCGGTATTCAACTTGATGCACTGATGGGAGCATACACTGAACCCTAAACTTAAACTCGAAGTCATTGCAGGATTCGGGGTTTCGGTCTGGGGGACAGAACCTACATCGTGAACCATAAACCCTAAAGTCCTGGCTAAGTCGAAGTACTCTGGCCCCAGGTACCTGCCTTGGGTTCCGGGATAGCAAGATCTTACACGGTCAGGGTTTAGGGTTTAGGGAGATCTTACACTTGCATACCGCACATCTGAAAGCGTCTAATTCAGACCGCAGTCGAGCTACGGTTGATGATATAAACCCTGCATGGCCTTAATGACCCTAGACTATGGGAATTGTGATATATTCCTCGTTATGGGTAATGCAGGATTTTTGTCATCAGCCGAAGTACTAGTATGCATGCGAACAGGAAGATCTGCCATTTCTTCGGAAAGGCAATTACTTAGGGACCCAAAAGGAACATAGGCATAAACACTTTATGGGGATATCCCTACCTTATTGGGCTTCATTATAAAGGGGTCTATATGGGACATCCCTATACTTGTTTTGCTTATGTGCTTGTTGGGCCCTATACCCTAGTTACAGACAGAAGGAACAATGCCAAGAATGGCACACATTCTGCGAACAGTCATAGTTGCAGCAGTATCCGCACTTGTAACAGCAACAGCAACACTGTTAGTAACTTCTCAATACGGGTAATATAGGGGCCTTAATAACTACCAATGCTAGTATAAAGGTTCCCGAAACCCTATTCTAACTTTGAAGGCCCCTACATTACTCGGTTTTGAAAGTATGCAGGGCCGGGCAGAACTGTTGGCAGCGATGCTCACTATCGTTCTAGGTTTCGGTTTTAGGGTTCTGTGGTGTTAGAGGATTGGGGTTTAGGGGTCGGGGCTTCTGTATTTTGTTGAGGGGTTTAGGATCTACTTCGAGGTTTAGGGTGTCTCAGTAGCTGACTGGATACACTTTACACTTTTTTGGGATAATAGTACCCATTATAAACCTGAAAGTGTACACTGTTTTGGGGCTTATGAACTCAGCAACTAGGGTGTGAAGAAGCCTCAGGGTTCCCTCCCCCCTACGCCTTCAGCTTCTAGTCTCAACTCTTCAAACCCAGAGACTCCAATATCCCTTAATTAAGGAATAGTCCTTAAATCATATATGGAATCCTGCTATAATTTGAGGTATATTCCTTAATTAAGGGGTATTGGAGTCGCTGGGAACCCTACCTAATCAGTCCTGGAGGAGGAAGAGAAAGCTGCCAAAGAAGCTCTGGAAAAGGCAGCTGAAGCCTCGAAGCTAGAGCGGTTCAGCTCGTGAGGGTTGCGGCTGTCAGGGTTTGGGGTATTGCCCTATTCCCCTTAATTAAGCAATATATCTTGAATTATAAGGGGCGTCATATTCTGATTTCAGCTATATTCCTTAATTAAGGGGTATTGGGCTGTCTGGGTAAGGCTTGGTGGGTTCAATGCTGGGGAATTCAGAATTCTGGCTCTTGTGGGCTGGGGGCTTCTGCGGTTTCTGGCCCTACATGGAGGTTCATTGGTAGTTATACGTGGGCGTTATAAGAAGGGTCAGTATAAGCATAACCCATACCCGGGGACTTATATCTCCATGTAAAGGAGCGCTTTACAGGTAGCCGTTACAGTCTTGGTGAGTTCAATTTTCAAAGATTCGGCGTCGAGTTTCTGAGTCCAGCTTTCTAAGTTGTTGGATCTGTTGCCGAGGTTAAAGGCAACAAGCCTTTTGATTTCCCTGATGTTGGGCTACTGCAGGGGCCGGAGTATTTGCGAATAGCCGCCAAAGGCTACCGTGAACCTCTGAACCTTGAACCCTAGAAGCCATAAGCCCCGCAGTTCTAATCCCTCAACCCCAAAAGCCACAAGCCCTATTCCCTAGGGATCAAAATAGCCCAACAGCGTTATATAGTATGGTCTTTGGGCCCAAAAGCCTTAATACATGAGTCCTTACATCCCAGGGGATTGTTTGAATCCAAGGGTAAAAGGAGGGACCCTTAATAAGGACTTCTAGGTATATCCCTTAATATAGCTCTTATATACCCATTAAAAAGCCCATTATAGGGTAGGGGTCCCCATTAAGGGTCCCTCCTTTTCCCCTTTGATTCTAGTCCTGTGTTGCTCCCTGCTCATGGTTTAAAGCACTTTCAGACCCGAGCCTGCTCCATCGTGTCAGAGCTCCTGTGTGGGGACAAGGAGTTGTTTTCTTTAGCGTTCTTCTTTTCCTTGCTATCATAAATGTTGTTGTGGTTTGCTTAATCCCGTTGTTAATGCAAGTCGTACTTCGTTTGTTCGTTGCTATTCGTGCTTATAGATACACAGAGGATTGACCGCGTCGAGCGACGAGATTCCAATGAGAAATGAGACAGGGCAACTCTTCCCCCTCACAGTGGTGATGGATCATGTTGAGAACTCCGGGTGGTCAGGTTTCATCATTTAGTGGAGACTTCGGTGTTTAAGGTGGTTTGATTTGGGTTGTGGATTTCGCGTTTGGGTTTATTTCATTTGTAGTTCAGGTGAGAAAGATTTGGAGCCGGTTTGGGGGGTGCAGGGCACTTGTAGGGTTATGGTTGGGTACTGCCCTCTCAGTACCAGTTGGGTTATATTCATAATATGGATATATCTGGCCCGTAATCGTAGCCCTATGTACCCAAGGTTAAGGGTTTCGGAGTGTCAGACTAGCAGTTTGGGGTCGGGTCAGTCGCGTTCGGACAGGAGAAGAAAGACAAAGAGGCAGCAGCTGAGAAGAAGGCTTCTGTCAGGGATTTGATGACGATTGAGGGTTGCAGGATTTCTGGTTTGGTAGACATAATCCGGGTTTAGGGTTTAGAGGTTCACGGTTTCTGTCTTTGGGCTCTTGGTTTAAGGTCTATGCGATCTAGCCAACCGAGTTTTGTTCTGAAACTCATGGGTGCATTCCTTCGATCAGGCTCATTACCTCCAACAGCAGGCTGCAAAGTTTCGGCAACTATAGACGCCACAGTCATAGCCAACTAATGATTGCAGCAGGGTTTCAGTATAAATTGACCATGTAGTATTACAACTTAACAATTTATAACCGTTTCATACCCGGTTCGAATTAAAAGGTCTCCATACATCAATGACATGCATTGGGCTGACACGCCGTGCAAGGCCCAATCGCAATTATCGATTGAGTTTCCGGTCACATGGCATCAGAAAAATTACCGTTGCTAATGTGTCGTGTTGTGGAGTAAAGCTTAACAGGAAGCACATCCCCTTTGCGAGCAAAACCCCGTGACCCAAGCCTAAAAACCTATCATTACTACTCTCAGTATTACTATTGCTGCTCTTGCTGGTACTGGAACTGCCCTTGCTGCTTGACCGCGACTGCGACCGAGACTTCCACTGTGACCGCGAGTGCCACTGCCAATGCTAGTGCTAGTGCTATTTCTAGCGGTAGTGCTAGTAGTGCTAGTAACCGACCTAGTATGTAGGTTGTACGTACAGTTATAAGTACCCTAAACGGAGCTACCCCAACTATAACCCTACTCATCACCGACTTACTAAGTCCCTTGGGAGTCCAAGTAGTGCTCGTGGTAGGTGCCAGTGACAGTGCTAGTGCTGCTAGTGAGAACAAGACCACTGGCTGATGGCAATCACCAGGACAAGGAGAAGGAGAAAGAGAAGGAAAAGGAAAAAGACAGGGCGAAGACCGAAGAAAGGGTCGGCCAAGGGGTGGTTTAGGGAATTGGGGGTGTTGGGCCCTTCGTAGGGTTCCTTTGCTAGGTTCCGCTACGGCTTTTAGAAGGGTTCTATGAGGCTGGCAGTCCAAGGCCTGGCAGTTCAAGGCCATGGGCACTCAGGGGTTTATTTTGCAGGGCTTCCAGGAATTAATGGCTTGAAGGGTTAGGGTTCAAAGTTCGGAATGCTTTGTCTTCGTAAACGACTTGGCCTTAGATCTTCGGCAGTTAGGGCTTGGAGCGTTAGCGTTCAGGGTTCTAGGATCTAGCTTGTCGGATTGTTGTGGTCGTCGCCGTCGTCCCCAAACCAATGTCGAAGCTACGAAGTACAGCACGCAGGACATCTAAACTCAACGTGGGGTTCCACACAACCGGCATCGAATTCCCTGCAAAGCATTCCCGAAGTAAGCCCAACAATAACCCCTAAAAACCCTAAACTCTACAAACCCTAAAATCCCCAAACCCAGTCTGGCTTAAGGCGCAGATCCGCATTCAAATCTTAAACCTTAAACCCTAAGCCCCAACCCCCCTAAACCCCCTGAAGCCCCTTAAGAACCCTTAAAGTCCCAAACCGGCTATAGCCCTAAACCAGCTGCAGGGAAAGTCCGAGGCTGAAAGGAAAAGAAAGCGGGACGAAGAACGCGAGGAGCGAAAGACCCGACCTAGACTCCTAATGTCAAAGGGCTCAAAAGGTGAGATGAAGGTAGGTGGGATATTCCCCAAAAAGAGTCCTCATCTAAGGGATCCTTCATCCTGCCTACCGTCCTTCCACCTTTTGAGGCCTCCGAGAATGTGCTGAAAAGGCCCAAAGGACCTGATAATTGGCACTTGGCGGGTTCTCGCGGGTCCATTCAGTTATGTCACGAATGGATTTGTAGGTCTTAGAGGAGTTAAACGTCCAAAGCGCACAATTATTAGGTGCTTTCGGAAGATTCTAGAAGGATGTCTAGGCGTTTATGTAAAGGATTAGGGGTTCTGGGTCCTGGGTCCAGAGGGCCCAAGAAGCACTGTACCATTTACATCCAATGCAAGCGAGCCTGTCGGAGAATGGTGGACAAAGTCTAAACTCATCATTCTTAGGACCAGCCCTTGCAACACGCTACAAGCCCGTATAGGATCCTTAGAGAGAGCCGGCTTAAAGGCCCGACGGTTTAGGGTGTAGGGGTTTATAGGGTTCAGGGCTCAGGGCTTAGGCCCTAAACCCCTAAACTCCAAACCCCTAAGTTCTTAAACCCCTACTTGGAGGTTCGTGGGCAGTTATAGGTGGGGTTAGAAGTAGGGTAACTATACTGACAACCCATATTAAGGGACTTTTCACTCCACTTGTAACTACCCATGCACCTCCAAGTAGGCCCTAAACCCTACATACTCTTATAGAATCCCTATAGATCCTTGAAAGGGACCCTTAAAGGAACCCTTGTAACAACCCATGAATCTCCAAGTAGAGAATTTAACCCTAGATCCTCTCCCCAAAACCTCAAATCCCCGGCTTGGAAGGAGAGGGAGAAGGCCGTGTCACGGCATTACCGGGCCAGCCGGCGAGAGCGGGACCGATTGGTTGCTTTCTTTGCTTTGGTCTTCTTTCGACTTCGGGTTTTAGGGTTTATAGGGGTGTAAGTGCAGGTTTTGAGGACTTAGGGTTTAGGGATAGGGTTTGAGGTTTAGGATGTGGGGTTTGGGATGGGTTATGGCTGATACGGTGTCTTCATATACATTGGTTCAGGAGTTTCGCATGGTTGTGAAAGGATTTTGCAGTTGGGCTTGCTCTTGGATTCAAGGGTTTCAGTAGGGGTATATGTGGCTGGTTTTTTGCAACCGTATAAACCCAGTTTACCTGACTTGAGGGGTGTAGGGTTTTGGGATGTTGAGTTTCGGTTTGGGATGCCGGAAGTGAAGCCTAGGTAGGGGTTGGTGATTCGGGTTTGGCAGGAATGGCCTGGCAATGCACACACAGATGCTTCAATTTGTGTACAACCGGCTCAAGTCAGTCGACAGGACCTATATAGTAGTTCCAGCAGGTCATGCGTCATCGCCTGAACCACGGCAGTTGAGATACAGACCCCGATTCCCTGCGAAAAGCATTCAGAGCTCCTTTAGACGGCAGCCTTGTGTACGTGCAGGATCGCGACGCCCGGGTAAGGGACCGTGAGCGAGACATTGAGAAGGCGCCGGGCAGGGGTTTCAGAATCTGATGGATAGGCATTTTTGGTTACCCAGCCGGACATTTGGAGAGCATTTGTAAGCTGTGGAGCCTCCGATATGAAGCGTAAACGTCCGGCTGCAGCGACGAAAAGGAAGGGTTTTGCAAGCTGAAACTCTGAAGGCTTAGACCACAGCCCCAAAGCCCCGAACCCTCAGCCCTTGTGTTGCTAAAACCAAGTTCAAAAGTGATCCCCTAAATCCCTCAAGCTCAATAATACCCTTACACAGCCCTTAACGGAACCCTTCTGAGAGTTTCCGAAAATAGGGGACCCTATAGTATAGCGCACTATAACAGTAGGATCCTTATGAGAAGGACCCCAAAACAAGATACGCCTAATTTTCGGAAACTCTAAACCCTAAACCCTTTATAGAACCCTTAGAGTATCCCTTTAAAGGAATCCTAAGGAACCCCTAATTTTCGGAAACTCCCATCTTGAACCCCGGAATCCCCAAAATTGCACAGGAATACAGCTACCGCCTCCGCGAGTTCGAGCGCAGCGAGGCTCTCCGAAGTAACGGTGAAGGTTTACCCTTAGGCTCTAAGGACCCAGACTTTAAGGCTTTTGGGCCCAAAGACCATACTATATAAGGCTTTTGGGTCTATTTTGAGCCTTAGGTTTCATGTAGGGGCCTGAGTACTGTCATGAGAATGGGGTTTTGGGCTCCATTCTACTATAACCGTAAGAAGGAACCTCCACAATGGTAATTATCTAGGCCCCTATGTTAGGGTTTATAAGGGCTTAGAGGGTAGGGACTAGAGGCTTTATAATCAGAATAGGGTGCTTTTAAGAATACTAAGCGTTTGGGCTACTATTGCAAGCTTGTTGGCCTTTACAGGCTCTTTCATTGGTCCTTAAGACGGTAATGTAGGAACCTGATTAAGAAACCCTGAGCCTATAATCCCAAAATAGTAGGATTCATGTAAGGAACCCTAATGAAGGCCCAAGGTTTCTTAATCAGGTTCCTACATTAGGATATTATTGAACGGTTTATGGCAGGCCCCAACATCTCACACCCTGAAGTCTTTACCTTAGTCACGGAGCGCCGACGTCCTAAGCCCTCAATCGCTGAGGACCCTAAACCCTAAACGGTTCGGGGTTTAGGGTGTAAGGTTCAGGGCCCTGTAATGCAACTAAACGAACCCTAAGGCTCCATGCAAGTATATAGTATATACTTAGGCCAATAAAGTACCTATAATATATAGGAGCCCCTTTATAAGCCTATAATTGGCTCCTAAGTATATACTGTATATGTACATGGAGACTTAGTTTTCATAAACATCTTGAAAATGCTCTTCTCTAATTAAACCCTAAACCCCTAAACCCTAAACTAAACCCTGAACCCTGAACCCTAAACCCCTAAACCCCAAACCCCTTTGCAGGACAAGCGGATCCGCAACTTGAAGCAGGATCTGCGTGACTTAGAGCCGGAGTCCCACCAGCTTTACAAGGTTTAGCCGTACTACGGTCTTGAGATATAATAGTTAGGGGTTCTGGGTTTAGGGTTCAGTGGTTTAGGAGTTTAGGGTTTTGGGTTCGGGGTTTTGGGTTTTGAAAGTTTTTAGGGTTTTGGGTTCGGGGTTTTGGGTTTTGAAAGTTTAGGGGTTTAGGGTTTAGGCTTAGGGTTTTACGGTCTTGGCATTTGGCGTTTGACCAGGCTTTGGGATTTGGGGGCTGGGGCTTGGTCATGGTTTGCCGGCGGACTGGGATTTGGGACTTGTGGCTTAGGCGTTTCAGCGTTGGGACGGGGGTTGGATGTAGGGGTTTAAGGCTTGTTGCGTCAATGGATGGGACTTAAGGGTTTACGGCTGTAAAACCAGGGGCTAGCAAACATGAGTCCTGTAAAGTTACAACTCACGGTCTGCAATACCGGACCGTTCTTTGGCCCGTTAACCCGGCTGCTTATCCCCGCAGCAGCCATGCGGGCTTAACGGTACGCTTGCATAATTATTCTTGGGGATGAGAGCATATCTGTTTGGAGATATTGGTCGGGTTGCGAGTTTGGTTAGGGTACTGTGTTGGATTCACTTTTTCGGTTCGCAAGCCCTCAAGCCGAGACACTATAACAGCCCTACGCCGAATATGCAATAGGATCGAACTTCTGTAGCCAATCCCTGAATGGTATAGCCCAGGACGCCAACCATATCAGCAACCCCATAAGAAGCCCATAGAAACCCAGATTGGCAAATCACTCCGCAAAATTTCCCGTGACCCCCTGAGCTCATGAACGACACCGCAGAAACGTCATACTCGTAGTACCAAAGAGCCAGGCATCACCTGACTTTAACGCGAATACTATTCCTGATCGCCTATAGAAGCGATGTAGAAAGACCTTTGAACTAAACAACCCGACACTGCAAAGGATTAACACCTAAACCCCAAACAGCTAAACCCTATACCCTGAACCCTAAATCCCAAACCCAAAACCCTAAACCCTAAACCCCTCATAGATTAAAAAAACCCTAAAACCCAACACAGCTGAACCCTAAACAGCTGCCCATGAACCTTTCCTGGCTGGGCTTTAGGCCTGCGTCGGAGCCGAGTGATCGCGAGAAGTGTGGATCTTAGCTCCAGGTTTCCCCCTTTAAGGGGTCCTGTAAGGGAATCTATAAGGGTTTATTAAGGGCTCCTTTAAGGGATCCTTGAAGCGATTCTAAAAGGGTTTAGAGCCCCCGAAGCATGATAAGTGCTTAGGGGATTTGTACGGTCTATGTATTTTTCTTTGTGGGTTCTATAGAACGGTTCTTTCCAGGGTTATTGCTTTTGATATTGCATGCTGTTACTGCGACGCGAGAAGATCTTGGGATTGGACAGTTAAGAGTTTGGGTGTATTGGTTATCGATCGGATCTCGACGGAACCTACAAAACCGACAGCTTTATATAGCCCCAAGGGTCCATGTACCCATATAGAGATACATGCGCCCCAAAGTACCTATATAGGGACTACATTAAGGCCAGTGTATATACTATATGAGTACATGGACCCTTAGGGTGGGCTCCTTGATCTGATTCTCTTTTGCAAGTCCTTCAATACGATACGATTGACGTTTGGGGTCAGCGTTGGGTTTGCCGCCAATCGGGGCTTAGGGTTTTAAACGGGCTCTAAGTCCCGAAATCCTACCTGGACCCCAAAGAACCTACCTTTCCGGGTCCCTTATTTTGATTTCCTTATACAAGTCCTTAAAAAGGACGGGTCCTCTGGGGTTAAGGTACACCTGAAGCGGTGTGCAATGGTTACACGGTGCCTTTATCTCAATGTGTTTTGTGTGTGTGTGTGTTAGTTAGTTATTAGGGACCCGAAAGGAACATTAACATAGGCATTTTACAGGGATATCCCTACCAATGGATAGCTTCAAATTGCATTTAAATTGCAGTCTATACCTAGCTGGTGCCCGGCTTCGCAATAAGGCTTGGCATAAGGGCTGACGGGATTCATTTGGTGTTCTTCGATTTGTTTTCGGACATGGTGCCATAATCAATATTTGAATGCATTGTTTAGATTAGAACGTTTCCGTGTCAGTGATTTTTGGACTCCGGGCTCAAGCTTCGTTGTTCACAGGGTTGTGTAGGGCTTGCACGGCTTGGGGCTTGCAGGGTTCTGGGTCAAGGGTTTAAGCAGTTTCCAAGATTAACGTGCCTGCCGAATCCACTAGTCTACGAGCCAGCAGAGGATGATCCGACATCTGAGAGTCAAGAGTATACTCTGCGCTCAAACGCATTGCTGGACATTCCTGACCAACCATGAGAGGGGTGCATTTCGGTTTCTCGGAACTCTTAGGCTTATTCGATCGCGAGTTCTGCTGAATCCTGCGTCCTCAAACCCTATAAACCTCACATCATGACTTATATATGTGGATCCGAAACCCAAAATGCATAAGCTTGGGATTGAGTCGTTGTTGAGTCTCGGGCGTTGCAGGCGCACAATGAATCAGGGTTGATGATAACAGTATATAGCACCAGCCCCATCATCATTGCTTGCCCAGGCGCAAATTTGGCGAACGCGATTTGGATTTCCGCGAGTCCGATGTGAAGGACGCAAGGGATTTATATATCAGTGCAGTCAGTACTAATTACGTCCTCTTGAAAGCCATACTGGTCCTTCTTCTGCTGCTACTACTACTGCTACTCGACTAGTCCATGGAAAGTATTACTAGTCTAGTACCAGTGTGAGTACTCCTGTGGCAGTGCGTCCAATAATGGCTAAACATTTCTTGACTCAGAAAAGGAAATAAGACTGACGGCCCGCTTCGATACAGATTCCTTGCTGCTGATAGGCGCCTGGAGCCCAAATTGTACAACCAAATCCCTTGCCATAATGAAGTTTCTGCACCCAAGCAGCGCAGGCAGATAAGCCTCCTGCCTTAGGGGTCCGTACGAGTATAAGAAACGTGCTGATGGGGTTAAAGGCGAAACCGGTTCTGCAGCAACGACGAACCCGGGGACTCCAAAACCCATCGAACTCAGGAATATACCTCAAACCACATCAGGTTTCGGCTGAATTCCGAATCGGAGGTTCTGGAAAAGAGTCTTGGTAGCTGGATACACTTTACACGCGAGAATACTTCCCACCATCATAGAAGCGAGAAAGCGCACACTTTTTTGGGGGCTTATGAACTCAGCAACTAAGGAGGGGACCCTGATAAAGAACCCTTGCCTGTCGAAGCTCCAAGCTTCCCTCTCATGACGTGGTCTGTGTCCCGGTCGTGTGTCCCATTCGTGTGTCCCAATCGGGTGTCCAGATCATCTGTCCTGGTCGTGTGTCTCGGTCGTGTCCCGGTCATGTGGTCTGGTTCGTATCCCGGTCGGTGCATCGCTTGCATTCGGTCAGTGCACCGTTCTTGTCTCTTTCGGTGTCCCGGTCGTGGTTCGCAGTCGTGTCCCACTGTTGTGAAGCTTGGTCATTCGCTCAGTCGGTCTTTGGGTTGGTGTCCCGGTCGTGTCTCGGTCATGTGACGTTCTAGTCGTGTCGTGGTTGGTGTCTTGGTCGTATCCGGCCCGTACATCGCTCACATTTCGGCGGTCGTGTCTTGGTCGGTCTTGTGAAGCTTGGTGTGCGCTGTCGCTCGCCCAGTCGGTGTTTGGGTTGGTGTGCCGGTCGGTGTCCGTAGGTATACTCCTTATTCAAAGGGTTGTGGAGTCTCTGGGTTCAGCACATGAGTTCTCGATGTTGAAGTCCTCCAAATACGCGAATCTATTAACGTGGGGTTTGCATCAGCTTTGTGTATGGCTCGGCTCGTATCAGTTTACGGCTTAGGCTTCAGGTTGCTGCTGACCCTACTAAGGTTTGAAATCTGTCGTCTTGCAGGAATATGGCCTTTCGTTAATGTTTAAAGTGTTTTTTGCATACTAAACCCTAAAATCTAAGCCAAAACCAGAGACCGTCACCCGACCGACTGTCCGCCCTCTTGAAAGGAATGGAAGAGGCGCCGCGAGGCTCAAAGGGGCATGCACAAGGGGGCTGCAGATTTTACCCATCGGGTCCATGCCCAGGGAGCCCAATTCCTGATTAAGGAATACATACCTTAAGTTGAGCGGCCTGACCATTATGGTTTAAGGTATATTCCTTGATCAAGGAGTGCTGGGCTCGCGCGGTGTGTACTACCCACGTTGGAGCCCATCCTCATGGTTTTGGGGAGTCCAAAATGGTAGTAGATACCCTAAGGGTCCATGTATCCATATGAGTAGATTTCGACCGCAAAGTACCTATATAGGGACTACATTGGGGCCTATGTATATACTACATGAGAACATGGACCCTAAGGGATATAGATATGGACCTTCTGGATCAGAGTTGAGTTCAGTAGTTGTGTTCAGGATTGCGGTTTAGGACCTGGGTCTCCGCGCTCATGAAGTAGCTAGTATGGTACGACTAGCACTGCACAGGGTTTGTAGGCCTCAAAGTTCGAAGTCAAGATTCAATCGATCACCGATCCCATTGCGAGAAAATTGGGATGCTCTGTGCGATGTAATTGCCCTACCTAGAATATCAATCACTCCTGATTCCATTTTGGCGACCTCCTTTCTTGAGCGTAGGGTCATAAGTGATTAACACGTGGAACAAGAGTAGAGGCATGACGTCCTAGTTCTTACGCCTTCGGCCTTAACCCTTCCTCGTGTTGAGCCTTTGTTCCTGCATACGTGTAGTGTAGGACAGCTATAACTTGGATGCTAAGGCAGGGCCCCCGAAGTCAGAAACCTACCCTAAAACACAAGCCCTCTGTTGCCGGCAGGATCGGGAGAAGGACCGCAGGCGCGAACAAGAAAAAGATTCAGCGGACCGGATCGCTGAGAAGGAAGAGGCATCGCTCCGCACGTTTACCTGCAACTCCGATACCCAACGTTTAAACCTCTTGGATTCTTAGAAGTTGCGATGTGTCTGGAATGTTAACAACTTTCATGTCATCAAGTGTTGCGAAAAGGAAGTTGTTGGTTCCCCTAAGGGTCCATGTACCCATATAGAGATACATGAGCCCCAAAGTACCTATAGAGGGACTACATTAAGGCCAATGTATATTCTGTATGAGTACATGGACCCTTAGGGTTCATGTCAACACAGAACACCACATCGGCTACACTGCGCGGCTTCGGCACCGGTCGCTGTTTTGTCTGGCCTTTGGGGTTTTGGAGGGGTGTAGGGTTTAGGGTTTAGGGATAGGGTGCAAGAGTTACCTATGGTCTCCATTGTAGTTCCTTTAAGCCCTAAGTATATACTATATGGGTACATGGAGCATTAGCCCCAAGGGTCCAAAGGAACCAATAATTAGGTACTCGGTTTCAGGATAGTAGTTACGTAGGTTAGGATTTTGGAGGGTATATGATTATTAGGTACTTCGTTGGACCCTTGGGGTAGGGTTCATTTCCAACCCCACCGACCTTACGATCCCTCGCTTCAACCGCAGCCCGAGTCCTCAAACTCAACCTCATGAAAGCCTATCTCCTGAAAACTTTACGTATGGTTTTGAGATTTAGGGTTTACTTGAAACCCCAAACCCGGAACCGGAACCCCAAACTGTAGCGAGGAGGAAGCACAGCAAGAATCATAACCCGAAACTCTAAACCCCTACATCCTAAACCCTGAACACGACATCCTGAAGCCCTGAAGCACTAAAACCCTGAGCAAATTGGAGGTTCATGGGTAGTTATAAGTGGAGTTATGAGTACGGTAACTAGTTATAGTTCTAAGTTACAACCCACATTAGGGGACTTATAACCCCGCTTACAACTACCCCTGAACCTCCAAGCAGGAGGGAGGACATGAAGCACTAAAACCCCTAAACCCTAAACCCTGAGCCAGGAAGACCCCAAACCCTAAATCCTAAACCCTGAGCCAGGAAGACCCCAAACCTTGAAACCTAAATCCTAACCCCTAAACCTTGAGCCAGGAGGAGGACATGAAGAAAAAGAAGAAGGAAGAAGAGGAGAAGAAGAAGCGAGAGAAGCAGGAGGCTGAAGAGAAGGCCAGGGCCCGTAATATAGGGGCGTAAATACTTCCCATTCCCCAAGGTCCAAAGGACCCAATAATTAGGTAGTTATGTAGGTTAGGATTTTGGGGAGTATGTTTTTATTACGTACCTGGACCCTTGGGATTACCTATGCCATGTCTTTTGGGGTGGAGTCCTTGTTATAACTATAGTATAATGGCCCCCAGCCCCTATCGTAAAGGGGTTCCTTTCAGGGGTTCCTTTCCCGTTTCCTGGTTGACTCTGCCGTCTGCAACTTTGGGAAACAAATCTTACGTAACATATAGGGTAGTTCTCTTGATTAAGGATTCCTTCTTATAGTACTCAGACTACCCGACTACCCCCCTCCCCCCACACAAGCCACCAATCCAGTTACAAAAAAGCCCATACTTCAAACGAGATCTCACCCTGGGGTTCCAGTTACCTAAATAGTCAGTCATTCGGCTTCTAGGGTCATTCCGAGACTGGAGCGGTTCGGGTTCAGGGCTTAGGGTCAAGGGTTTAGGGTGTGAGAGTTTCCGAAACTGAGCGGCTACCTTTTTGGGGGGTCCTGACAATAAAATCCTACTATTACCCTATATTAGGGTGCCCTATTTTCGGAAACTCCCGTTTAGATCCTTGGGTAACTTTCTGTATGTTGACAAGCCTGTTCCATGATAGGGACGGACGGTTGGGATAGGTTTCACACGAGCCCGGCGCCGTCGTCCGATACTGGCGAGAGCTTCAGGGTTTAGGGTTCAGGGGAGACTTTGGAATTCGGATCGACAGCAACGTTCATGCCTCGTTTCCACCAATATTGCCCTCATGAGGATGCATGGACATAGGTTCATGGGTATCGGATGGTTTTGGGAATTTAAGGGTTCAAGGTTTGGGGGTCTCCGGCTCAGGATCTTGGGGTTAAGGGCAGAAGGTAGATCTTTGCTCTTGCTGCAGCCAGCTCCCGAAACCCTACCTAGTCTCCATTGTAGTTCCTTTTTGGGGTTACCTTATAGGATCCTAAATATATAGTTGGTTAAACCAACAAAAGGAACTACAATGGAGACTACAGGTAAACCGCAAATTTACCCGGGCCGTGCAGCTGGTACTGAGGCCAAGCGCGAAGCTGAAGAAGCAGAAAGGCACCCGAAGAGATGTTGGGCATCGATGTAGACCCCTGAGCAAAACACACCGCCCGCTTAAGCAGAAAAAAAACAGACGTCAGAACCCGCAACCCTGACCCCCCAAGCCCCTAAACCCTAAATAAACCTAAAACCTAAACCCTAGCCAAGCCAGAATTCCTCCAACACCGTCATCCCAATCCTGTATGCTGTTCGTCTCCAGCTGTGGGACGTTTGTGAACCCCGGGCAACAGGCTCAGAGAACCCAATGCCCTTTAGATAAATCAGGAAAATAAATATACCTTCAACAATAATATTAGTTAAGATATGATGGTCTAAACCCAAACCCTGAACCCTAACATAAAGGCCCCTAGAATGTAAGGTATGTTCCTTAATCAAGGGGTGTAATTGGGCCCTCTGAAGGGGGTGTTGTAAGCAACAAGAAGGATCCTCAAGCTCCAACATGTATTCTGGCAACTCTGCATGTTTCGGTCGCCTCTACTTGGAGGTCCATGGGCAGCTGTAAGTGGAGTTATAAGTAGGGTAACTGTACTAGAAGCCCATAATGGACTTGTAACCCCACTTATAACTACCCATGAACCTCGAAGTATCAAGGGCCAGAGCGTCTGCCTTAAACACCGAGATGGCCATTGTCATTGTGAATTAGTCTCTACTGGTCTCCAGCCGAAAGCCCCTCAAAGACGTGCTAACCCTAAACCCTAAACCGAAGCCCTAAACCCTACACCCTAAACCCTAAACCGAAGCCCTGAACAGTCAAAAAAGCCGGCAGGTCCTGCCTTCGGGGTCACATTATGACTTTGCCGGGTCTTTGCTTCGCTAGGATTCAGAGTAGGCCCTTATCCCCTTTTTTTAGGGTTCACATTCCCGTTTTTTGGCCCCCTTAAACCAACAAGTGCACCGTTTTTATTCCTGGGCTACTCTTGGGTCTAGTTGGTGCCATTGACAACTTCGAATGTCTGTCGATTCTTCCCTGTGGGTCTCGGTTTTCGGAAGGTGAGGGACAGATCCGCGAAATCTTCGGGCTGGCTGGGTTTAGAGTTTCGGGCTTCGCGGTTGTATGAGTTGTTCGCATTTGTCTGTTGGCGCACAAACAAAACCACGCATTTACAATATGTGTGTGTGTGTATACATCCATATCTATATATGTATATATATATATATATATATATATACATATACATATGTGTGCGTAAGGGAGACGCAGGAGTCTAGGAGAACGGCTTGCTGTGAGTGTCAGGAAGAGGAAGGAGGACGAGAAGAGGAAGAAGGAGGAGGCGGACAAGAAGGAGCGCGAGGTGCGGAGTTCGGGTAGACGGAACCGCCTCATCCATGGGTTACAACCCAACCCTATCAAAACTTAGCTAAATGTCCCAGGTGCTAAGCCTTCAAAGCAAACCTTAACCCCAAGTAACCCGCCTTTTCAAGGACTTGTATAAAGAAATCACATTAGGGAGCCCTAAAAAGGTAGGTTCCTTATAGGGTCCAGGAAGCCCTTAAACCCAAAGCACCCCCCCCAAAACCCTCAACTCTCGACTGAACCCCAAGTTCAGAAACTTCCCCCCCGACATCCTCCAATCTCTTGAGGAGTCCTGAAAGACCCTAAGCCCTAAACCCTGTTTAGGGTTTGGGGTTTAGTTGGTAGGGTTTTCCTTAGCCCTGAATAGCCTGCCTTTCTAGGGCTCTTTGTTATGATTTCTTTATATAAGGCCTTAAAAAGGTAGGTTAGTCCGGATTAAGGTAGGGTTTAGGAAGCAACTGAGCCGTAATATAGGGGTCGGAATATTTTGAAGCTAACGGTGCCCCCTTAAAGCTTTAGATCCCCTATAACTATTCTATAATGTACCCCAGTACCCTATCGTATTGGTCCGAGGCGACGTAAGGTTTTAGTTGCTGTTGCCATCTTCCCTCTAAAGAAGGGTGCTGCTGCTAGAACTTCTATGTGAGATCATATCACCCCCTGCTCCTTGTTTCAAGTTTCGAGTTTGGCTCACAGCTCTTCCAGGATTGTTGTGTCGCTGTTTGGAACAACGGGCTTTTGGTTTTTGCTTGTTACTGGGCCTGGGGCTTCTAGGGGCTAGTTGGTGCTGGAAGCCTGAGCCTCAGATTTCGGTCAGGTAACAGAGGGCCTAAGTAATTAGTCACACTTTAGGGTTTAGGGTTCATCGGGCGGAACCATCGGCGGTCCTGAAAATCAAGGTGATCTTGCCCATGTGGGTCTTCGCCAGGGCCGAACCATTATCACCAAAAGCGCTTGAATAATAACCAGAAGCACCCACTGTTTGCCCGAAGTGCTGACATGCACACCTACAATCCTCTCTATACTTTTTGAGTCCTAAAGCCCGTAAGAAGCTCCTAAGAGCAACCCAAACCCGTATCGAATCCTTAACCCTCAAACTACAACCTTAAACCCTGAACCCTACACTCGAACAATGAGACTTTCGGATCCTGAAATCCAAAAAGTCTGAGCTCGCCGGACTGCACAGGAAAGAGAAGCCAAGGAGAAAGAGGCGGCGGTCAAAGGTTTAGGGCTTACGGCATAGGATTTGTAGGGTTTAAGGCGTACAGCTCTTGTAACGGAACTATAGCAGTTCCTCTCAAGGGATCTATATGGTACCGGAGGGGTGTGGGGTTTAGGGTTTAGTATGCAGGGTTCAAGGCTTACGGTTTACAGGCATTTTACGGTTTAGGGCAGTGACCTGGTTGGAGAAATATGGAGGCCTTATGCTGATTTGAACACTTTACGGGATACGGGTAGATTATGTGATATGTACACACCATTATAATTAAGTTACGCACTTCAGCCTGCGTACCAATTGATTTTCCGGTCCCTGCGGTATCTTGATGTGCATTCCGTCGTCTTGGCCCAGGCAACCCCTAAACCCTAAACCTAAGGGTCCATGCACCCAAATAATATGGACTTTGGGTCCAATGTACTTACATAGGGAGTACTTTAAGGCCAAAGTATATACTACTTGGGTACATGGACCCTTAGGCTAAACCCATAGTCAATCCCTACCTGTACCCTAAGGAACCTACCTTTTTAGGGTTCATTTCTTTATACAAGCCCTTAAAAAGGTGGGTTACTTGGAGTTCAGGTAAACACTAAACCTAAAGTCCTCAACCAACCCTCACCCAAGTCCTAAACGTGAAGCCTTTCATTCCCACAGGGCTCCGCAGCTGCAATCCTGGCGTCGCCGATCTACGCTGTCATGGACGACCTTCTCATTCAGCCTATAGTCTCCGTTGTAGTTCCTTTTTTGGGGGTTACCTTATAGAATCCTTAATATATAGTTGGTTAAACTATAAAAAAAGAACTACAATGAAGACTACAAGGTGGATGCTCGCACGACTTGATACTGCTCGACCGTGCGGTCTTTGAGGAAGTTCTGGCAGAATGGCAGAACCCTAAGGGTCCATGTACTCATATAGTATATACATTGGCTTCAATGTAGTCCCTATATAAGTACTTTGGGGCTCACGTATCTCGAAATGGGTACATGCACCCTTAGGGGAAGTTGAAGGCTGAAACATCTTACATCTCATCAGATCGACCGACGAAGGGCCCGTGACAGCCCATAGGCTCCAAGTTTCCTGATCCTGCATCCACGTTTGCAAGAAGACATGTTCTTTTAGAAGCTGGCAGTTGGGGCTTAGGGCTTTTAGGCTTCAAGGTTTTTGAGGGAGGGTTTCAGAGTTTCGGGACAAACATGTTGGTGCAGTCTCCACTGAGGCATCTAGCTTACTGCGAAGTCAAGATCCACTCACTCTTTCCCAGAGACAACTTTACCGTGTTGACTCGCAGTACTTGAGATTCCTCCGTCGGGTTATGGGCATCAAAGAATCATGCTACTCCCCGGCGAGGTCTAGAAATTTGCGGGCTACCCGACCTTGCCCTCAACTACGCTCCAGCACAGCCAGCACAACATGCCTCCCAACCCTGGGGCTCCAAAAAGCCCAAAGTAGGTAGTACCCAGACCTTCCAAAATCCCTTAATTAAGGAATATACCTTAAATCATATTAGGGATCCTACTATAATTTAAGGTATATTCCTTAATTAAGGGATTTTGGAAGGTCTGGGTATTTAGGGACTTTAGACCCCAAAGTAGGTACTGTTTGTATACTTGGAGCCCTCGGGCAAGAACAAATCCAGTTCATGGTGTAGTTATGTATTTGTCGGAGCTGCGCATCCGGACAGAATCTTGATGCAGGGCAGAAGAAGAGGAAGAACACACCCCCACTAAATGGAAACCTATAGATTCTAAAAGGATTGCTTGCCTGACCACACCGCCCTGGCGAGTGATAAGCATTCAGGGTATATGAAGATAGCGCCGTGCGGAGTTCTTCTTTCGAACTGGTGCCAAAGCGTTCGCACAACCCTACCCTAAGGCATGTGCGCAAATAGTATACTTTGGCCCCAAAGTACCTACACAGGGACTTCTTCAAGGCAAAAGTATATGATTACTATTTGGGTGCATGGACCCTTGAGCTCTAAACCTCATAGAACCCTTAGAGGCACCCCTTATGGTACCCTTAAAGTAACCCTTCTTCTGGGTACATGGACCCTTAGAGGAGGCCATTTCAGTACATGAACCCTTCGGGTTAGAAACTCCTGCTTGGAGGGTCGGGGGACTTAGTAAGTGATTGTTTTAGGGACTTATAAGTACCATAACCCCAATTAGGGTCCCTTTTAGGGTACTTATATGTCTGCTTACTACCTACTTACTAAGTCCCCCGACCCTCCAAGTAGAAACTCCTGGGCAGGAAAAGGAGGCCAGAGATAAAGAGCAGAAGAAGCAGCAGCAGGTCTGGGTTCGCTTAGGGTTTAGGGTTTGGGTTTAGGGTTGTGGCTTTAGGGTACCTCTGAAAGGGGTCTATATAAAGGTTACTATAAGGGAGCTTTAAGGGTACTTTTGGGTTTGGGTTTAGGGAGTTGGGTTTAGGGGTTACGGGTTTCAGAGGTTTCGGGTTTAGGAGTTTAGGGTTTATAGGTTTAGAGTTTAGGAGCCGTTTTGGAGGCATGATAGCCTCTATATCATCCTATAGGTCTTCTAGGATGTCGAACAAAGAAAATTTAGAGTCCGGGCTTGGCAGGGGCCTTTTGGGGGGATAGGGATTCGAAGTTGTTTGGGCTCAGTGTGTAGGGTTTTGAATGTGTAGGGCTTAGACGTGTGGGGTTTTTGGGGTTTCGGGTGCAGGGTTTCGAGGTTGTGGATTGTGGGTTGGGGGTGTTTGATGTCGGTGTTATTGGTGTTATGCAACCGTTATGCTCAAGAGTGTATAGGGATTGGACATCGAGTTTGAGGGTTCTTGGATTCTTGGGATGTAGATAGAAGTGACCTCAATGGCTCGTTGGGACAGGCACTGCTGACAATTGACCAGGAGTTGGAATTGGGAGAGACGGTCCGGTTCCCATCTGCTTACATATTCAGATTACTCTACAGCTCCTGCCAAAGGCGTTTGAGATCCAAGGGTCCTTACCGGAGCTACCTTCATGGGGCTTAATGTTTAGAGTAATGGATGACGGCTCGTGTTAAGATTTAAAGTTGAAAGTTTGGGTTGAGGATCTATGTCACCGAACCCTGCCTTAGCTTTTGCAGTGTCGGGCCTTGGCCTTAAAGCTTGTAGTCCCTCCCTTTAATCCTGATGAATCCCTATAAATCTCCTTTTGTTTACAAAACCCCGAAGGCTCGTCGTTGGATCCTGAACTTAGGGTTTAGGGGTGTAGGGTTTAGGGGTTTAGGGTCTAGGGTTTAAACCCAATAAGACCTATCAAACAAACCTCTAAAAGCTCGAGGTAAACTACCTATACAGCCTATGAAGGCTGCTATGACCATCCTCAAATTAAATAACCTTCAAAATCAGTCCCTGTAGAGGTCCCTGGGCCCAAGGTATATACTAATTAGGGTGCATGTAGCCTTACATACCATAAACATCCCGAAACCCCTTATATATGGCCTTATGGTACCCGTAAAGGAGCCCTTATAGGATGCCCTTAAAGGAACCCTATGTTTGCGCACATGGATCCTTAGTTGGAGGTTCATGGGTAATTACTTCTAAGTGGGGCTATATTAGAAGTAGGGTGACTGCACTTATAACCTTATAACTCACATTAAGGGACTTACAACTCCGCTTCTAACTACCCATGAATATAACCCTATATCCTAAACTCCCTAAACCCTGTAGAGCCCGTAAAGGAACCCTACTTATAACTACCCATGAACCTCCAAGTAGGGAAGGCTTGCAGAGTCATGTAAGCGCACAACCGTCAGGATGCCGCTGCCAAGCTGCTGCAGTCAGTGCAGGCAGGTACCAGTTTAGGGTTTAGGCACCGGTTTAGGGTTTAGGCTTAGAGTTTTGAGTCTAGGGAATAGGGTTTAGGTTCAGTGCAGGCCATGTGCTGTGGACGCCTAAGAGCGCAGTGTGAATCCTCTCTGTCTCTGTCTCTGTCTGTCTCTCTCTCTCTCTCTCTCTCCCTCTCTCTCTTCTTGCCTCTTTCTCCAGACAGATAGATATAGAAGCCCCTGGAGCAACGCAGAGTTGTCTGCAACACTTGCATTGTTAGGTCTGAAGGCTGGGGCCAGGTTGCTTGTAGAAACACAGATGTCGCATGGCTTTGGCGACACGGTTTTGTTGCGAACTCTGGCGTTTGCACTGATAAAATCCTATAAGCCCTTGAACCCCTACGCTTTGACACCTAAGTGTATAAACTCCTAAACTCTACACCCCATGACTACTTTTTTTCTGACGAAAGAACAAATCCCAGACCGGCGAACCTCCCGCCGTGCTGGGAGGTCTATATGCTGTAGAGGTTGAGGGCTTCACAGTGAGACAAGGGATCTTAGGTTTGAAGGAGGTGGGCATTTAGGGTTTAGGGTTCGGGTTTAAGGTGGTCTTGTGTTTGGAAAACCGAGAATTAGAATACTTCGGGCAGGTTGGGTCTTGGCTCTTTCGGTGATATTGAGTGCAAACTTGGCAATGGAAGGCTTGATCTTTGGAACCTCTCGTGTGATTGATATCCGGTCTGGCTTTATTTGTCAGGCATAGCCCAGCTATTTCCATAAAACGACGTGGCGATCAGGCAGAGATCATGAGCGCGCCGGTGCTGTCCTGAGATTGGTCTGGTTGACGTCGTTTGGGCTTTCTGGAGGTTAACTGGGTTGTTGACAGCTGTTGGTATAGCCTATATATCCGAAACCCAGTGCCTGTGAGTGATGCCATGTGAGGGCTGCCCGGGTTCTTGTTGCAAGGTCTCGGTGAAAGTGTCTGACCAGATGTAAGTCTGCCGAAAGCTGGCATTGCGAAAGACCGTTACACCTTACAACACAATACCAAAAGCTATGGGGTTTGCAGGGCTCGTGGCTCTAGTCCAAACTTTAGAGTTGCGGAGGGTGCAATCCCCAAGCCCGTAGAACCCTTGAAGGAACCCTTGTAGAACCCTTCAATCAGACCCTAAACCCTGAACGCTACATTTCCGAGGCGCCCGCTCCGAAGGCAGCTCCCCCGGCCCATGTGCAGGCGTCACACGCTGTGGCCGTTCCTGGGCGGCTCCTTTGTGCGATAGAATTCGGAGGAAGTACCAATAGTAGTAGATCCTAAAATTTCCTTAATATCCCTATAAGCCACAAAAGACCCCAGAACCCTAGTCAGTCCAATTATTCAACCTCCCTGTAGTCGGCATTTCTGCCTTCCATAAGGTTTGGCGAATCTGGATCTACAATTTAAGCTGTAAGTTGGAGGGCTTGCAGGGGGTGTGTCCGGCGATCCCGCCCAACGTACCGTGCAGGCTACTCCACACAGGGTTGAGACTACCAAGGGACAAAGACTGCGAGGGCTTGTTCAAAGGACCGTCGTGAGGGTCATTGATGGGTCAGGGTTTAGGATTCAACTCAACTTACCATGCTTTTATCTGCAGAAGTGTCCCTGCACGGTTTCTTTCTCAGCTTTCGTTCGCAGCCATTGCTGGACTCGTGAAGTCAGTGGAAGCGAAACATGACATGGAACGGGCTAAGTATACTACCAATACCAGTAAGTATGGGTTTGACCCCCCAAAAGAACAACATCATGAGGATGGTCTTTTCGGGCAGGATCCCAAAATATTCCCAAAGCAACCCTAAACCTTAATTCGAATAGGTCACACCTAGCCTAGACCCATGGACCGTCACAGAAGAGAGTCCTAAAACCCAAAAGCCCTGAACCCTAAAGCCTCCAAGTCCTCATCCTAAAGCCGACAACCCCAAAACCCAAAACCACCCCAAAGGCCCTAGAACCCTAAAGCCCGCAAACTCTAAACCCTAGAACCCCGAAACCCTAATGCCCTAAAGCCCAAAACCCTAAGCTCTATAAGCCTTAAACCTAGAAGCACACCCTTCTTCTAGATCTCTAAACGGAACCCTTAAATGAGGAGTAACCCTAGCCCAAACCCTTAAAACCCTAATCCCATAGTCCGTAAGCGTTAACCCCTAAACCCCAACACATTTAAATACAAAAAATCCAATCCCTATAGATACCTCAAGGAAACCTACTTGGAGGTTCAGGGGCAGTTATAAGCGGAATTATTAGTCCCCTAATATGGGTTATAACTCTAGTTACCCTACTTATAACTCTACTTATAACTACCCATGAACCTCCAAGTAAGCCCTAACCCTAAACGAAACCCGTAGGATTCCTTTTAAGGGTACCATGGGGTCATATAGCAGGGATCCATTGAAAGGAAACACCTGAAAGGAATCCTAAACCCCAAACCCTAAACCCTAACTATAGATACCTTAAGGAAGCCTGAAAGGAATCCTAAACCCTAAACAATCCCTATAAATACCTTCAGGAAGCCTGAAAGGAGGTTATGGTACTTATAAGACCCTAAAAATAAACCAGTTACTAAGTCCCCCGACCCTCCAAGTAAGGAAACCTGAAAGGAAACCTAAACACTAAACCCTAAACAGATACCGTAAGGAAGCCTGAAAGGAATCCTAAACCCCAAACCCAAAACCCTAACTATAGATACCTTAAGGAAACGCCTGAAAGGAATCCTAAAAGAAAGCCTGGTGAGGCGCTCTTCAAGGAGCCCGAGGACCTCGATGCCAACGGTGCCTCTCCCGGTGGCTTCGGGGTTTCTGGGGGCTTTTAGGGTTTTTTGGGGTTTAAGGGTTTAAGGGTTTTGGGGTTTAAAGGTTTAAGGGTTTAAGGGTTTAAATTTAGGGTTTAGGGTTTTGAGGGTTTTGGGGTTTAGGGTGTCAGGTATCAGGGTTTTAGGGTTTTAGTGTTTTGGAGTGTTAGGCTTTTGGCATAGGGGGTTTTGGTGCTTTCAGGGTTTGTAGAGTTTTAGGGTTATAGCGTTTGGGTTGTGGGGTTTATAGGGTATGGGGTTTATAGGGTTTTAGGGTTGTGGTACTTTTCCGACGCCCAAACCCTTTGACGGAAGAGCATACAGTGGATCTTCGTCAAGATGTCTTAGGGTTCATGAAGATGCCGCCTTAGATCATAGGGGCCGTGATATGGGGGTTTCCGAAAATTATGGGTACCGTATTTTGGGGTCCTTTTAATATGGATCCTACTATTTAGGGCGCCATAGTAGGGTCCCTTATTTTCGGAAACCCCATATCGCGGAATGAAACTCTTTAGGATCTAGTGTGTTGCGAAATTGAGGGGTATTGGGCTCCCTTGGAAAGCCGAAGGTTTCCCTAAGCCCCCCAACTACCATCCATTCCCCAAGGCTCCATGTGCCCATAAAGTATATACTCAGGCCTTAAAGAGGTTCCTATATGAATACTTTGGGTATAAGTATATACTACATAATATAGCTACATGGAGCCTTTGGGCTTGTGCCCTAAATACCCACTACTAAAGACCTTAATGGCATTATTCAAGAAGGGAGCTTAGGGGGGATGCGTTACAATGCCTTACAGTGTTCTGAAGTCCTCTCACAAACTATAAACTTAGAACTTACGGCATTAAATGTCAGCCTAGGTAAGCACCTGCTACAAAACTCGCTGCAGAGTCGAACCCCTTACAGCGCCCTATACCTGCGAAGCCCTGAAGTCAGCAGGTTGTAAAATTGCAGGACACCTGAACCTGACTTGGAGGTCCACGGGTAGCTACAAGTGGGGTTGTGATTAGGGTAACGATACTTTCAGCCCATAATAAGGGACTTGTAACCCCACTTACAACTACCCATGAACCTCCAAGTAATCCTCCTGCACTAAGCCCAATCTCCGAAGCTCCAAACCATAAGCTTCGAATCCAAGCCTCCTAAACGGGCAACAACCATTGATACCAGGTGGGCCCTCTCGTGTCGGGTTTAACGTCCAGGTCTAGGTCACAGGTCTAAATATGGTTCAATCTGTTGCCCTAAGTACTAGGGCCCTAGGGGTCCATGTGCCCAAATAGTATATACTTTGGCCCCAATGTACTTATGTAGGGAGTACTCTAGTCTAAGGTCAAAGTATATAGTATGTAGGTACATGGAAACTTAGGGCTGTGCATCTGGAAGCAGGCTTCTGGGAGCCTATATCTCGAATAGGCTTTTGGGGCCCATTATGCTACAATCATAATAAGGAACCCCCAAAGTAGCACAGGTAACTATTAAGTTTAAGGCCCCTACCCAAGGCCAGGCCCCCAAAGGCTGGGAAGGAGCAGGAACCCAAAGGCCCAACAAGCGCTGAATGAAGATTTTTCCGTAAATTTTAATAGAACCCTAACATGATTTCAGATATATTCCTTAATTACAGGGTTTTGGAGCCTCTGGTAAGCGGAGGAGGCTGGTGTGCTTCGTGCCAAGAGCAGGTTACCAGCCCGATTCAAGGTCTATATTCTATATGGCATGGGTGTAAATACCCTAGACCCTAACTCCCCCTCGCTGAAGGCCGAAAGACTCGTCGAAACCTTGTAAAGCCCCTAGACAACTCCTTTCAAAAGCCCTTGAAACAACTCAGGTCAGCCGAGGAAGCACAAGCCCCTGACGCGCCTGGAGACGCCGACCGCCCCCGCCGAGGATCGGAAGCTGAGGCCCAGAGCTTATGTTGTTTTCTTTTGGCTTTGTTAGCCCAGCTTCTGTGACTCAGATGATCGCGTCTTTACTCCAGGTCATTTTGGGGTCGTTGTTGCAGGGGTTAGTGGGGCTCAGGGTTTAGGGTGTTTTCAACCTGGGGTGGTCCTTGCATGGCTTGGTCGATGTTCTGAAACTCTCCCATCGATTTATTCTGCATTTTAAGGGGTTTAGGCGCGTAATAAAGTTTGGAATTGCATGGGCCATTGGGGCCTCGAGACAGACAGCACTAACATCCTACCAAGACCTAAATCCGCAGCCCCAAACATCCCAAATTCCCTGAACCCTAAGCCCGAAAGCTCTGAACCCCTACGACCCTGTAGTCTTAGTAGCTGAGTGGATACACTTTACACTTTGTGGGATACGACTACCCACTATAAAACTGAAAGTGTACGCTTTCTGGGAGGCTTATGAACTCAGCAACTATAAGTACTACAAAAACCCTGAGACCATGAATACCCGTAGTTCTTGAGCTCGGATCAAAGGCTCTGTTTTTTAAATCAAAGACCCAGACTCCGGGGAGGATCTAGAAAGTAGATCCCCTACTTTGGGGCCAAAAACTCCTGAGGGTACTTTACAGGAACCCCCAATAAGGGATCTACTTTTTGGATCCTCCCGGGGGTCTGATCCCTTGCTCAGTGGGCCGGGACATTTTGTAACTTTTGTAAGTTGAGTTCTCTATTACCCAGAGGGTCCATATACACTACTATTATGATAAGGAATTAGTCCCTAAAAGACCATGCCGACTATGGTTTTGGGGGCCTAATTCCATAATAGTAGTGCATATGGACCCTCTGGGCTAGTTATGTGGGGTCGATATTATATTGGGCCTTTAACCGTAAACCCCCAAACCCTAAGCCCACTTCAAAATTCCTGCAGGGATGATGAGATGCGGCGGCTGATCCAGCAGGCCACGCCGAATCGCAGTTGCGGCTGGACCTTCCGGATCACCTACCGATGCGAGCGATCATGGTGTGAGGGCAAACCTCAAGTAGCTGACACTGCTAGAATTCTGTGCGAGTTCTTTAGGCTTTAGTTAACGCTTATAGGGGTTCCTTCAAGTAAAATGTGCAAAAAGGTTGACACGGGGGCTAAGGACGACCGGTGTTTCTGCTTTGCCTTAAACAGGCGTGTGAGGCTGGTTGAATCTTCAAAGCCTTACCTGGACCCTCAAGAACCTACCTTTTTAGGGTTCCTTAGTATGTTTTTTTTGTATAAGTCCGTAAAAATTAGAAAGGTAGGTTATGCGGGGTTAAAGTAATCCCTAAACCCAAAACCCAAAAAGCAAATTGCAAGTGGCCGTTACGGCCTTATTCTTCAGCCCGAAGGTTAAGGCTGGAGGCCATACTATAGGGGCCTGAATAATTACCTATACTATTTTGGTGGCTCCTTATTATAAACATTGTACAATGGACCCCAAAACCCTATTCCAATTACCAAGGCCCCGATATTAAGGAAAAGAAGTGGTCGATGTTTCTTCCTGACAAAACCCTTGAACAAGAAACTCTAAAAACCAGAACCCCTATGCAATCCTTGTACGTAGACCCTCAAAGCCCTCAAGGGAACCCTAAAACCCGCAACCCCGAGTTTGCACTAACCCCGAGTTTGCCCTAGAAACCCTCAACAGGTACCCACCGACAAGGCTCGGGCGTTTGCCTTCGACATCGACTGGGACGCAGTGCACGTTCCCTGCCAGCAGGGTTGATTGTGGGGTTTAGGGTTTGGGGCTTCCTGCAGATAGGACGTATCCTTTAGAGGTAGTACTTCAAGAAATACCATTAGCGCGAACACACACAGGGGTTGTTGAGGTGCAGGTAGGACATTGAGAATCTTTGGGTGTTCTTGATTCGATGGCCCCACTGGAGTGGAGCCGCAGGGATAGCACGCATGGTGGCTGCAGAGGTTTTCCCGGCCATCGACAAGGTCCACGCTATTTTGGCTCATGGGCTTGCAATCTTCCTTCGCTCTGGCGGAATGTCTGCAGACTCCGATACAAGCGGAGAAGAAAGGTACGGCTTGGTTAGGAGAGTGGCTGAGCTGGTTGGATGGCCTGAGTTGATGACCAGTCGTCCAGTTGCAGAGCGACAGAGGAAGGAAAAGCAGGCTATCACTATATCCGGCTTGGTGCTTGGGCTGACTTTTCCTGGCGCCCTTGCCTGCTTGTACGCACCGCAGGCACATGTCCGTCACGATCCCGCAGCTCCGCTGAACCTGCCGGCGACTGCAGACGGCCCAGCTGTTGTCTTGCATTGAGTCAGCAGGCAAGCCTCCGATACGCCAGTTCGCTGTTTGCTCGCCCGGCCTCCTTCGTCCTCGATCCATCTGCAGCTGGATGTTTTGCTGCTTGGTGTCTCGTCAGAGCTGTTGATTATAGCCCTAAGGGATGATTCACCATACGGTTGATGATACAAATCCTGCATTACCTTAATAGGACCTAAAATATGGGAGTTATGTAGTTGGTCCGGGAATGGCATCCGAGCCTAGGGTTCGGCCAGGCCGAGGCAGCACTAGTCTATGGGTAGTTATGACTGGGGTTATGTGTCCCCGAGTATGGGTTGTTCTTGTAATTAAATAGCTACGCTACTTATAGTCTAGAACCCCACTTATAACTATCCATGAACCTCCAAGTAGTCTACATTGGGTTTAGGGTCTCAGGAGTACAGAGACTAGAGTAAATATGGAAGATTCGTGCAGATGTGCTGAAGCTGGCGATGCTTTCGTGCAGTCTACTTGGTTCGACTGTGTAGTCCGCAGACCGGATAAATCGTCCAAGCTCGTAATGCCGTCCGGAAACCTACGAGGGATCAGGGCCTCCGACACAATTTAAAGCAGATCCAGTGAGTACATGGCACTACCAGCAAATCGGCGCAGACCTTCAAGGAAGGGAAAGCCACAAGCCGTAAAACTTTTTTGCGGTTACAATGGTAAAGCCACTCTGATGCAAAACCCCCTGCACGCTGCATGTGTGTGTTTTTGTCACGCATCGCTTGGTTGTTTACACATCGACCAGTGTCCACCGTGGGAACGCAGTTCCCAGCGCACTGAGGTTCGTGCGTAGTTATAAGTAGGCTTATAAGTAAGGTAACTATAATTACAACCCATATTAAGGGACTTATAACCCCACTTATAACTAATTACCCATGAACCTCCAAGCATGTCTGATGTTGTAGGAGACTTGGATTTGGTGACATCGATCGGCGTCCACACTGTGGCCATTCCCGCGACCACGAACCCTGATTGCTGAATCCAAAACCCGAAACCAGCACACAAGAAGCTTGTGCTCTTTACAAGGCCTGTGTACCCTGAACATGCCCATATTTTGGGGCCTTCAGGCTTAAGGGCATTTTTCGTTATATTTCACGGTGTAGACGACCGTTGTGATTTTTTGTGTTTGGGTCTTGTTAGCATTTTGTTGGCAGGTGCATGTCGGCTGTAGAGACTTCGGAAGCCTATGCCATAAGCCTGAGGGCAACAACATCATAGAGAAGAAGCTCCGGCCGTGGGTGAAGAAGAAGGCGACTTGCAGAAACCTCAAAGCACTGGGGGCTGAGGCTTCAGGGGCTGGGGTTTAGTGATAAGGATCAATAAAGGCGCCTGAATACACTTGATTCGCTTCTTCGACCGACAGACGTCGGTGAACAACATCGGGGCCTGAATATGTAGAAACTGATCCTCAAAGATTGGTTTAAGTGCTTCGGGCTTTGGGACGTAAGCCAACGTAGATCCCTCATGAACAGCACCCCTTCCCCATCGACGGCACCACCACCTTAATAAGGATCAGAAACGGGGTCCTAATATTCAGGCCTCTTAACGACGGGGTATGGGGGCCTTGGCCATGTTCATTTGCCTTTTCGGATGTGTTGGTTAGCGTTCCGAGCAAAACAAACCCAGCAAGCCCAACGTTCTTTCATCGTGCGGATTCTGCGAGGTACGGAGGGGCCACTTATGTGACGAATGATGTCCCCAAATTGAGCTTAAGACAGACACTCGGGCTTTGACAGCATTTGGCATACCGCGTGCGGAAAAGCTTGGTCACCCTCCGATGACACTGCAACGAATCATTTGCGCAACGTCGCAACCCTCAGCAACCACGAACACCCGAAACCCCAACATCCTAAAGCCTGAACCCCAAGCTTAAATCCTATCCTCCGCGGCTAAGGCCCATAATTACGTACAGTTTATCAAAACTCTGCATCTAGCTGAACAAAACTGTGCACGACTGAGCACGCGATTTCCCTTGGACAACTATTCCCCTGATTTGCATCGCTTGCAGTACTGCGGCTTGTTCGAAGAAAGGTGTTTTTTTTTGTTTTTTTCCGAGTGTGTCTGAGTACGAAATAGGCACACGCACTGTTTAAATTTGTACATGCACATGCTTGCGTATGCACGTACACAAGAACGTACGCATGTGTTTCCTGTATCGTTCGGTTTGTCTGTCTGTCTGCCGCCTGTCTGCCTGTCTGTGTGTCTTCTGTCTGTCTGTCTGTCTGTCTGTCTGTTTGTCTGTCTGTCTCTCTGTCTGTCTGTCTGTCTGTCTGTCTGGTTGCGTGGTTGGCTGGATCAAGGACGAGTTCTATGAATGTTACATAGCAGGCCCTAAGCCTAAACCCTTACAGACCTCTATAGTCCGGTATCATTCCTTTTTATAAACTTATGAACCTGTTATACAAGGTCTTAAAATGGTTAATGAATGATTTAGAAGGCCTCATTCATAAGCCCTAATCCCCAAAATACACTGCATCCTAAAATCGCAAGCCCTCGAAATTTGAATCCCAAAAGCCAAGGCCTTACCACGCAACCCTAGACCCCAAACCCTAATCGGTGGGGAGGTCACGGAGTTCCTCGGCAACGAGGAGCAGGCTATGAAGGGCGCTGCGCGGGAAGATTGAATGCCCTGGGTTCTGAACGGATTCTACAGGGTCTTTAGACCCAGACCTTCCAAATTCCGTTAATTACTTAAGAACCAAAATTTGAATTCATTTCGAACATGATTTAGGGTATGTTCTTTAATCGAGGGACTTTGGAAGGCCTGGGAAGATTCTGCAAGGACTCTAGAGGGATTCTGTACTCGTAGGCGCTTCACAAGGATTCTATGAAGGGTTTGGGGGTGTGCAGAGGTTTTGGTTCAGGGAGTTGGGGCCAGGTTTGGGGTTAAGTTGTCTATACAGTCTAGCGAAGAAACTGAAAAGGTAGCCAACTTGAGGAGACACGCCCTCTAAAACCAATTTTTGCTAGGGTTCTAAGTTCAGTATAGGGAGGTTCTTGGGGTACTTACCCATCGAGTCCTAGGTACTGTTGAAATCTGACACTTCAATTGTCTTCTTCCCGAACATTTCTTATTATTCCGCCAGCGTTTGCGGCACTGTGGTTCAAGTTGATCCCATCAGTGCAATTGGGATTAAGTTACCGATTGGTTTTTCACGAACCCAGTTTGAGACGATTAGCGAATGGCCTGACCTTGAATACGAAACCACCAAGAGAATTGGTGGCGAGGATGTTACTTGGAGCAGGGACTATGACTACAGCAATGGTTTCAAAGTGGAGGTGTCCGGGTCCACCAACCTCATCAGTGATGATGGTTTTCTTATTCTTTACGGGGACATTGAGTCACCGGTCAGCAGGTTCTTGGTCTTCAATGCACCTCCCGATGCTGAAGCGACAGTTCAGCTCTTTGATCACTTTGCAACTTGCTTTCGTCCTACAGTTATAGCTGACTCAATTATTACGAAATTGGGTTTTTCATTTGACCAAACTGTATGATGTTATGGGGGATATTTCCCCAAGTCATAATAGTAATTCCTAATAATATGGAAACCCTACATTCTACTATACAGGTACTTTGGACCCTTTGGGTTATAGGTAGAGGCTTAAGCACCCCAATGCGAGTTGTAGGAATAGTTGCCCGACGTTTAACCCCACTGACAGCTACCCACGAACCTCCAAGCACGCGGGGACTGTTTCGCCTTCGTTCTTCCCCCTTTGGAACCCTATCTAAATAGCTGAGGGAGCCATTATAGAGTATAAAAGGGCTTGAACAAAGCACTCTTAAGAGCTCTTACCACCTCCCTGTGAAGCCCCCTTTCCCCTAAACCCCAAAAACCTAAGCCCTAGGCCCTACCCCCAAACCCTAAACCTCCAAAGCCCTAAACCCTAAACCCTACAAAGCCTACACCCGGGTCAGGGCATGATCGAGTTCATCCTCAAGAAGGCTCCAGGGGGTCCTCCCCAACTGGTATGAGGTTTAGGGTTTAGGGTTGAGGGATTTTCGGTTTAGCGATTTGGGTGTAGGGTTCCCTAAACCCTATGCCGGTTCTATGGGGGGTTCCTATGAGGGTACCTATAAAGCTTCCTTGAAGGGCTGAAGGGGTTCTAGGGTTTAGGGATTAGGGCAGGTGCAGGGATTTAGGGTTTAGGGTTTAGTTTAGTGGTTTTAGTGTTTTGAGGCCTCCGGTGTCGGTATGGGGTTAGGGTTTGGGGTTAGGGCCCTTGGCTTCAAGAGTAAAGTATGAGGGTTCCTTACTCTGAGTTCCGTTTAAAAGTACTTAAAAAGGTAAGTGAATTGGGGTTAAGGTAGGCTCGAAGGTGAAAAGGGTTAAGGTCGGGGAGTGCAGGTTTGAGACTTCGGACTGAGTCGTCGGGTTCCGGTTTATGGGGTTCCTTGAGGTTTCCCTTAAGCCTTAAGGGCTCCTTGCAAGGATGGTGCGCTCAGGTTTCGGGTTCAGAGGTTCGGGTGCTTCAGCGTAGCGGAATCGGCTTAAGCTGGTGTCCATTTTTGTGGCTGTAGCCGTCCAGGCTATTTGTTTCACTGAGGGTCCCTTTGCTCAAGAGTACTTAACCTACAAAACTACTACTCTGAACCCAAGGTCCAATTCCCGCGTGCTTTGGACCATCAGGGTTTGGTCTTCAGAGGAGAGGTGTAGGGTTCCGGGTTCAAGGTGCAGAGCTGCCCATCCATCAGCCCTTGCCAGAGACAGCGACAAAGGCGCCGAGACCATCATGCCAGAGCTCCTGTTGATGATATAAATCCTGCATTACCGTAAGGACCCCAAACTATGGGAATTATGGTATATTCCTTATAATGGGTAATGCAGGATTTCTATCATCAACCGTCCCACAGATTCACTGCCTTCTTTGTGGACAGTGCCACGCTTGCCAGAGACAGTGACAAACGTGCCGAGACCACGGAGCTTCACGGCTTCCGCAGAGCCCAAGACTCCGGCCCTATAGATCCCTTAAAGGAACCCTATAGACCCTTTAAGGAACCCTATAGATTCCCTGTTTCGGAGCCCTTTAAAAGGAACCGGAGATTCACGGCATAGCAGCTCCCGAGACTCCTGATGTTCCCGCAGGGTTTAGGGTTTAAGGTTTAGGGTTTAGGGGTTTAGGGGTTTAGGGGTTTAGGGTTTAGGGTTTAGGGGTTTAGGGGTTTAGGGTTTAGGGTTTAGAGATGGTGATGGGTTCCGATGGCATTGCAGCTCCCGCGACACCTCCTTACCCACCGCCAAGCTGGGCTGATGATGAGGAGGAGGATGAACCTTGAGGAAGGTGGTGTTTGGTCCGATGAGGATTGGCGGTCGTGACAAAACCTAGAGAATGCCCAAGCTTCGTCTTTCAAATTCCGAAACAAAGGACGAAAGCGGTGCTTAGTCTCTGACAAAACATGGAAAGCCTCAAGAGACAAGGCCTCTATGGGACTTACGGAAGACCCGTGAAATGGGAACGTGGAGTTTTGAGATGAGACTCGAGGGATTGCTTAAGGGATCGTGGGATTTAGCAATCGGGGTAACAGATAACGTAATTACAATATTATAAATACGTCTGACAACGTTTTAGCTACTTGTAACCTAACTTACTGCCTCCTACTTGGAGGATCACGGGACTTAGTAAGTATGGCTATACATGCCTAATGGGGTTAAACGCATAGTAAATGTACTTTTAATCTAATTAGTTACTAAGTCCTATGATCCTCCAAGTATGATCCACCAAGTCGCTGGCCCTAAGGGTCCATGTACCCATATAGAGATGCATGAGCCCCAAAGTATCTATATAGGGACTACTTTAAGGCCAATGTATACCTTAACCCCAAGTAACCTACCTTTTTAAGGACTTATATAAAGAAAACATACTAGAGAACCCTAAAAGGTAGGTTCCTTAGGGTCCAGGTATCCTATATGAGTACATGGACCCTGAGGATAGGGTCGGAAGTCCCTGGAGTTCGCCTGCAATGCCAGGCTTACACTTCGCTTCTGCCAGACATGGTAGACGTAAATGGGTGGTTGTCAAAATTGTGGTCCCTCTTTGGGTCCAGAATATAGTACGGCACCTAATATTTAGGGTACCCAATAAGGAATCATAATTTTGACAACCACCCAAATACCTTAAACCCGTAGTTGTACGGCTTAGGGCCTTTAGGGTGCAGGGCTTTGGGGTTAGGGTTTAAGGTTTAGGGTTTGGGGTTTAGGGTTGAGGGCTTATCACCATAAAAGAACTCAACTGCCCCGGCGAAGGTGAGTGCTCACACCAAGCCGGACACGATTCTCGCAGAGTTGTAGCCCCAGTTAACCGAATCTCAAGTTCACAGCATGATGTCGCTACACCAATCTTCAGAACTAAACCCGATGCCGAAATTTATCTCCTTGTGCTGAACATCTGGTCCTTCGCAGAATGTCTCATTGAAGAAACACAGGCCGTTTCAACTACTCATGACTTGGCACCTGGTTTCTTACAGCTTCACTCGCAATTCTCTGCTGCTGCATGGTTCGTTCACCCTGGTTCAGCAGGGTTCCGCAAGGTTACTCACAGATCAGATTCTTTCGAGCTATAATGTCTGTTGAAAAATACTGCATGTCCAAACCTTGCTCCAAAAAGGTTGAAAAGACCAACGCAACACAACTCCACGGATTGAACTATTGAACACCCCGAACTCTAATTTCTATCCCCGAACTCTAATTTCTATTTTCTAAATCTTCATCTCTATCTCTGTACGCCTTTTGGCAACAAACCCCGTATGTACGACCCTACCAAAACGAGCAAACCCAAGTGCAATTGCCCCGGCTCCGGTCTAACCATCGTACTCCTTACAGTCATAGGGTTTAGGGTTTAGGGGCAGAGCCCTTTTAGAAGGCTTTAAAGGCCTTATAGCTACACAGGACGAGGAAGTGCCCTGAACCCGAAGACCCGCCGAGTCCTTTCCCCCCAGCCCAATGTGCCCCCTTCAACCCTACCTAGGCCACAAATAACCTACCTTGCAGGTGTGACTTATTGTCAGTCTTTTCATACAAGTCTTGAGAGAGACAGGTTTTTTAGAGTTATGCAGTTAAGGTGAACCGTAAGCAACGGAGCTCCAAACAACTGCCTCAAGCCACACACCCTACACCCCGGAAGCGCGAAGCTGCCGAGCCCCCTCCCAAGACCCTAAGGTCCGTAAACCCCTAAACCGCTAAACCCTAAGCCCTAGACCCTAAAGCATTTAGGAGCTTAGACAAAAAATTCAGCACTCCTGGTAAGCCACTGTCTAGGACCTAGAATACTGTTAGGGTTCACGTTCCCTTTTAAGCCACTTGAAAACCAAAAAGGGCACTCTTGTTATTCCTAGGTTACTCTTAGGTCTAGATGTTGGACCAAGGCTGGAAGGGTTTTTGGACGAAGAAGCGGAGAACTTCACGCTGAAGATGTCGGGTTCACAGCAGACGATTTGGGGTTCGAGGGTTTAGAGGCCTCGGATTTAGGGTTCAGGGTTTAGGGGCTTTGGTTTTAGGGTTTAGGGGTCTGGGGCTTTAGGGGCTTTGGTTTTAGGGTCTAGCGGTGTGAGGGTTTGGGGGGTCTTAGGTCTTAGGTTTCAGGGTTTAGGTGCTTTGGCTTTAAGGTTTAGGGGTTCGGGGGGTCCCAGGTTCTACCATCAGTATTTAACACAGCCCATGTGTTCATTTGTTCTGGGTGTTTCCAAGGAAAACCGAGCAACAAGAGACAAGTAGCTGGTCGTAGTAACTGGAGGAGCCTGGCTAACTGGCTGAGGATGTACTTGGAGTTTCGTGCGTAGCTACAGGTGAGGGTATAAGTAGGAGGAGATACCCATAGCTCATGATTGAAAGCACTTACGGGCGGTACGGAGCACTTCCTCAAACACTTGTTGCATTGCAAGGCAACACTTTCCGTGAGCGCAAGGACAGCCTGATCTTTACAAAGGGCAAAAATGTCGGTGGCCATGCAGGTGTTTCAACCCGCTCTTCTTTGTTGCTCAGAGAAGGGCCACACACATGGACCACTGCCGCACTGCATGATGTTATTTGTACAGTTAGCAGGACGGGCAGAGCTTGTGGTTTTCGGACAAGTTGTGGTGAAGAGGGGAACCTCGGAGTTCCAGCATGCGGACGACTTGGTTGACATCTCACGCAACGAAAACACCTGTTGGATGCTGAGACCCAAGACATGTCCTGCATGCATGGACTGGCCCCAAGATGTGGTTCTGGCTGTCACGCATCGCATGTGCAGCCATCACGCTCGTCAATGTCAAGCCGTGCTATAGCCGTTCTTAGGGGACTTATGGCTCCGCTGATAACGCTCTACCAAACCCCTAAACCCCGAACCCTTACACACCTGACCCGAATCCCTTGTAACTACCCGTGAAACTCCAAGTAGGATTCAAGTTTCAAGATTTAGTGTCTCAGAGGTTGGGGTTCTGAAATAAGGCCACGCGACATAGAAGCCCGAGTAATTTCCCACATGCTATTCCTCAGGGCTCCTTGTCATAATCATGGTCTACTATACCCACAGCCCTATCGCAATTATTGAGGCCACCTAAGCCTTGAACCCTAAAACCCTGAAGCCCTAGACTTTACGAAACCCCAGGCCATTAACCCTGAACCGCCAAACCCTAAATTCTAAGCCCCCGAGACCCAAAGCCCTAAAACCCCGAACCCTATAAACCCTCAAAGCCTAAAAAAACCTCAACCGTATCAGCTCCGAAGCTCTAAACCTCTCCTACAGTCCTAAACACTACAAGCCCTCAACAAAACAATCTTAGACGGCCTTAACCCCGAAGCCCTAAACCGCTGAACCCCAAAGCCCTAAGCCTTACAAGCCCTCAAATCCTTTATTTCAGCCCTACGCCCTATTTAACTCCGAAGCCCTCAACTCCCGAAAACCCTAAACCCTATAATCCCTATAGATACTTAAGACCTTAAAACCCCTAGCCCTAGATTGTAAACCCGACATCCTGTTAAACGCCAAGCCCACAAACCCCTATACACCCTAAACCCGAGGCTTGAGCATCTCGGTCCTTTGGGAATCCATGTGTTCCCAGAAGGAATAGACCTTGAATAATTCATATTCGGGACCCATCTCTGTAATAGCAAGATATAGCCTTAAATTAAGGAGTAACTATATTCTAAACCCTAAACCCTAAATCCTAAACCATATTAGAGGGTGACTTACCGTTTTTGGCGACCAGAAAAGGGTCCCAGACTTAGAGAACTGCCCCATGATGAACTACATTTTAAGGGTATATAATAGAAGGGGCCCCCACCCTGTAATAGTGGTATAATAGGAATATAATAGGGCCCTAAGATAATCCTTATAGTCACTATTACAGGGTGGGGGCCGCTTCTAAGGGTATCTTCCACAGAAGGTTTGGGTGTCGAGAAGCTGCTGGCTCCTGGCTTCGGGTGGTTTTCAGCTTTCACGATTTTGGGCTTGGGGGTTTGGGGTTTAGGGGTTTGGGGTCTAGGGGTCGGTTTAGGGTTTTGGGGGGTTTCGGCTTAGAGTTTAGGGTGTAGGTGTTTAGGGGTTTACGGTAGGAGTTCCGGGTCTAGTGCTTTGGGGTGTAGCGTTGGGGGTCCCGGGTTCTGGGATGGATTTTAAGACGAAAGGAGCTTACAGGATTTAGAGCTGTCCGGTTCTTCGTAGGGAATGAGGGATGGATCCCTATTGTAGCCCCATTTTCATCCCCAATAATAGTCTCCATAATCCACTCCCCCATTCCCTACTAAGAACCAGAAAGTTAAAGGCTGTGCAACCCAGAAGGTCCAAATACACTGCCATTGTGAAAATAGGTCCCCGAAGACATAATAGAGATGGGCTTTTGGTACGCAATTCCATAATAGTACTTGGAGGTTCATGGGTAGTTATAACTAGGGTTGCAGGTCCCCTAATATGGGTTATAGCTATAGTTACCCCACTTGAAACCCCAGTGATAAGTGCCCAACATAGTGCATATACATGGACCCTCTGGGTAAGGGTTGCCTAATCGGAAGGTTAGCACACTTTGAGGAGCAGCGGTTTTGTGGCTTGGCTCCGTGAAATAGGAAGCCGTCAAGCTTACAAATATAGAATCTAATTCTGCTTCAGAGTTTATGCACGGATCTCATGTTCATAACCGATCGCGTTCCGAGGTGGCGAATGCTCATTTTTGAGGCTCGGCCCTGCATCATGGGCTTTTGGAAGCACTGGCGGTGCAACTATTTGTGGACGGTTTCGGAGTTTAGGGTTTAGGGTTTGGGGATGGTTTTCGCAAGGGTTCTTGCAAGAGTCTTACTCTTGCCAGGACAGGGTGCTTTCATTTAAAATAGGGGCCCAAATAATTACCAACCAATACTATACTGTTGTGGTGGTTCCTTATTGTGTCTATAGTCTTGAACATCCTCAAACCCCATTCTAATTATCAAGGCCCCAAGATTCGGAACTACACAGCGTGCAGAGTGCAGGGGGCCTCTTTGAAGTGCGCTCCGGAGTTTGGTACATTTTGGATGTATTTTGTGACTAATACTGTAATTGCATTAAGGAGACCGCCAAAACCCTCTTCTGATTATTGAGGCCCCTACACTAGTTTAGGTTCGAATGTTATATTCGACATTTGATTGCTTTCAGGGTTTGGTGTTGACCTCATGCTGTAATCCGAGGATTTAGGACTGAGCTTTCAATCGTGGACTTGATGCTTGTGTAGGTCGCTTTGTCATTTAAGATTTTGAGTTCGAGTTTGGGGCTTGATTCTTCAATACCCCGCACCCGGGAACTACCCTAAGTTATGCTCCAGCGTTTGGGGCTTGACATGTGCCCCAACGGCCCAAACCCCGACACAAATTCACACCAAGGTTCATTCCAAAACCCAGCACTCTACGATGCCAGAATACCGAATCGGCCAGGTTCTTCGCGTGAAGGCCAGATAGATCTGCTTACACCTCGCAGGCTGGGCCAATCAATACTGCTTAGTTGTAGGCAGATTCGGGCGTTTTGGGGTATATGGACGTTCTTACATGCAAGTTTCCATACATTTACACGGGGTGCTCGTTTTCGTGAACCCTCGAGGGATCCTACAAGTACATGAGGGTGGGCTGGCTCTGGGTTTTCCATTGTCCAAGGTTCTTGTGTAATGTGGGTAGTTCTCCAAATTAAATTCCCTGTTTAGGTTTTCCGACAATAGTGCGGCACCTTCATAAGAAGGCCCCCAAAATGGACCATAATTTAGACAACTACCCCTGTCCCATATGTAAGGCCTTGGTTGGCCGCCTCAGCCGCGTATATACCCTCCAACCCCAACCCCCCCCCTTCAATCCCACCCTAAACCCTAATGTTGCAAACCCTGAAAGCACCCTAAACCAGCGCAGCCGGACGGCCGGAAAGACTCCTTGGCCTTGCTGGCTTTTGTGGCGTTTGCCTCTGCTTCAAGCGCAAGGAGAGAGGCTGGGATTGAAGAACAAGACTTTTCACTACTGTAGCCAGTGTCATCATTACTATTGCTGCTGCATGACTGTCATGATTATCATCGATGCTGTCATCGTTGTTGTTGATCCTCTTTCGCTGGTGTTGCGTGGTATGTTGAGACTTTGTCAACAGTATCAGTGCTCTCACTGGGGCTGACGTATCTATTTGCTCATGGTTACGTTGTATCCATTTTAACGACATCACCACTAACACCACTGCAACGACGAGTGCCATGATCACCTCTGCAACGACGAGTCCCATGAGGAGCACGACGACGACTGCGACTGCGACAACGACGACGACCATTGTGGTGTGGTTGACTATCATCACCACTGTCGTCCTGATCATGTTGCTGGCTGCAGTTGTCATTTCTTTGCCAGCTGCTGTTGTGGCTGGCGCTGCAGTGCTAGATAGGCGTTTGTCACATCAAATTTGCTTTGACCTGCCCCGAACCCTGACGTTGGTTTCGCAGCGGAGCACCTTGTTTACAAATTATTGTTTAGGCATCGTTGCCTCGCGCTGACCCACTAAATCCAAGACCCGTCATCTCAGATACCTAAACCCAGCGTCTTTGAAGGAATGCGAGGCCTGCATAGGGCAACAGAAGCATTCACCAGAACACTCCTGCGACAAAGTGGCCTCCCGGTTGGGCATCGAGAAACTCACCGGCCAGAGAGCAACTTGAGCCTCACCAGGGTTTAGGATAATGTAGGAACCTGATTGCGAATTCCTGGGCCTACAACCCCAACATAGTAGGGTTCATATAAGTAACCCTAAGGCTCAAGGTTTCTTAACCAGGTTCCTACTTGACTGGCTATCGGAATTACGGTTTAGGATGTTCGGCTTTGAAGTTCTGCAGTTCTCAAGACCCCTAGGGGTCCATGTGCTCAGAAAATATATACATTGGCCTCAATGCCGCCCCGATGTAGTTACTTTAGGGCGCAAATATATAGTTTGTGGATACATGGACCCTCAGGGGACGTTTTTGGAGCTTGAAAGGGTGCTCAAAGGATTGCTGTAGGAGTCTGCCTTGCTGGAGTTTCGGGTCGAGGGTTGACGACGACCACGGCTTAGGGTTTATGGATTTAGAGTTTAGCATGCTGTCAGAGTCCTACCAAAGTACATGGTGTTGTACTCAGCCATGTCCATGCATCTTTTTCACCTCCAGTGTGGGGAATCCGTCCTTCCACTCGCAGAAGGCACCCAACAAGTCACAGATGACACGACACCCTACACCCTGAAGCATGAGTCTAAAGGTACCCCTCCTCCAATCTGAACCGAGCCCTGTTGGAAGTCCGCTTTCTTGAGACTTCGTATGCCCGGGGACGTCTCCGCGGGGAGCATTCAGACTCGACGCCACCGAGGCAATCGTCAAACTATAGTAACTACAGTATGTACACACATACGTGTGTGTGTATATATATATATATTTATGTACAAATATGTTTCTAGTAGTCACTTTGTTATTTGTATGTCAGAACAATACCTCCGGGTGTGGTAAGTGTGGAGCAGTGTCGTTGGAGCGGTGCTGTACCAGTTTGCTGTAGGTGTCCGGAGATACTTGGGGACCTGCGACATTTGAGGGCCGTGGGGGACAGGCTTCAGGGATTGATTTCTGGGTTTAGGGTTTAGGGAAGACATATATCTTCTGGCCCTTCGATTAGCAAGTTTATATACATACATCGAATCCAATATGAGCTTCCTGTATAGGCCCCAAACCCTAAACCACATACTATAGGCTAGTCACTAGCAACAGCAAATGTTCTCCACGGGGCTCCTGCTTATAAGTTTCCCAAAACTTGCCCCAAAACCCTGCTCTAATTATCGGGTTGTGCTGGATCCCAAAATCGTGAGAGGTCTCACGACCTGCCCGGCCACCCTATCTGGGACTCTTCGGCTGGAGAGGTGCCGGTTTAGAGTCCAGGGTTCTTCCAGAGCATAATCAGGGTTACAGGGCCTTATGAGGGGTTATAGGGTTCAACAGGACTTTGTCAGGGTTTATAGTATTTTAGAGGAGGGTTGAGGGTTTGAGGTTTAAGGTTTCATGGTTCTGCGCGTTGGATGTCGAGATGCAGACTAGTCTTCAGATGGGACCGTTTCTTAGGCGTACTTAGAAATATTTTTTATTTTTTGGTTTTTATACTTCCTAAGAAACAGCCAAAACTGTAATTTTTGCTACGGTTCTAAGTTCAGTATAGGTCTCAGGTGGGCCTTAAACTCGCTACGCCTTGAACAGCATTGACTTGGAATCTCCACCAAGCCCTACTTGGAGGATTATGGAACTCGGAAAGCAAGGTTCTAAGTACCTGAACTGGGGTGTAAGCATTTACATCTAATTATAGCTATCTGATTTACGGACCTAGTCACTAAGTCCCACGATCCTGCAAGAAAGCATCATATGCTGGACCCGACTTTTGCAGCTTGGCGTTTGTGTTTTTCGCTTCCTGCTGCTTCAGGGAGAGTGAGGGAGGGAATACAGGGACTTTACGGCACCCTAAACCCTCGGGACAGGGGGGAGGGGGCAGCGACTCTTGCCCCAAAAACCCAAACCCCTCAAGCGCTAATGTAGGAACCTGATCAAGAAGCCCTGGCCATCTGACCCCAATATAATGTTAGGCTTCATAGAAGGAGCCCTAGTACAGACAAGGTTTCTTAGTCAAGTTCCTACAGTATTATAGTAACCCTTATTGACCCCTTTAAAGGAACCCTCATAAAGACCCAAGATTTCTTAATCAGGTTGCTACATTCGTAGTGTTTTTGGGGTGGCTGCGTCGGGGACCTTCGGGATCGAGGGTAAAAAGTGTTTCGCGCTTTGCGGAATGTGAACAACTACTGCTGATGATAAAAGTCCTGCATTACCTTAAGGACCCTAAACTATGGAAATAATGGTATATTCCTTATTATGGGTAGGGGAGGATCTTGCAAGTAGATCCCCTAATTTGGGGCCCTATACTACTATAGGGGTACGTTTTAGGAACCCCCCATTAAGGGATCTACTTTTTGGATCCTCCCGCGGATCTAGGTAGTAGTAGCTCTCGCTACATACTTGTAGTGCTTAGAGGTTCATGGGTAGTTGTAAGTGGGATAGCTACAATCATACCCCATCTTAGGGGACTTCTAGCCCCGCATATAACTATTCACGATCCTTCAAGTATAGCCCGGATTCCTATTCCAACTGTTCGGGCCCCCACTTTGACCCTGAAGCGAATTGGCTGTTCACCTGGTGTTGGGGTTCCATTATTTTCTACTTGAGAGGTATCGTGGGATAGGGTAATACTTACGGCAACTATAACCCCAATGAAGGTCATAATCTTCCTAGGTCCCTCTATCCTTCAAGCAAGTCCTTGGCCGGGTTGCTTTTGACATTGAGTATGGCCTTCGGGGTTTTGTTGGTAGCCCTACAAGAAAAGTGCGTAACCTGAGCCCGAGTCCTTACAACCTTATACGCGAAGTTGTAAAGCCTTGAATCCCTAAGCCGGAGATTCCAAAACCCCTTTCAATGAATAATTATACTTATACCTTACATCATAATAAGGGTCCCCTTGTAAGTTAAGGAAGATTTCGTCATCAGGGGGCTTTGGAGTCCTACTTGGAGGATCGGGGGACTTAGTAACTGGTTATTTTAGGGACTTATAAGTACCATAACCCCAATTAGGGTCCCTTTCAGGGTACGTATAAGTCTACTTACTACCTATTTACTAAGTCCCTGGACCCTAAACCCTGAACCCTATAGTACTCCTATAGAGCCCTTTAAAGGAACCCTTAGACTCCCCTTTAAAGGAGCCCCTACTTACTAAGTCCCCTAAAGACCCTCCAAGTAGGAACCCGAAACCCCAGAACCGCACAGGCCCCAAAACCCCTTAATTAAGGAATATACCTTAAATCATATTAGGGCTCCTATTATAATCTAAGGGATATTCTTTAATTAAGGGATACTAGACTCTTCTAAACCCTATAGATTTCTTGTAGATCCCTTAAAGGAGCCCTAGGTATATTCTTTAATTAAGGGGTTTTGGAGCCCTAGGAACCCCAGAACCGCCGAGGCCCGGAGCTCCTAAGCCCTGCACCCGACCCCACTCCTATCTGGGAGTTTCCGAAAATTAGGGATCCTTTAAAGGGACGCTTTAAGGGTTTCTATAAGGAATCTGGAGGGTTCAGGGTTTGAGAGTTTCCGAAAATCAGGGGTACCTTAGGGCTCCTTTAAAGGAACTATAGGGGTACTATTAGGGTTCTACAAAGGGTTTAGGGTTTAGAGTTTAGAGGTTCCGAAAATTAGGGGTACCTTATTTTGGGGTCTTATCATAAGGATCCTACTATTTAGGGTACTATATTGGGGTCCCCTGTTTTCGGAAACTCCTATCTAAACAGGACCCAGCCTTCAATGTACCATTATGGGGAGGGTGGCAGAGGACCCTCGGGGGTGGTGCCTTCTTTAGATCCTTCTTAATGGGGTTAAAAACCGCTT